GGCAGGCGCTTTGCCGCTGAGCTAAATCCCCAGCCCCACCAATAAATAAATAAATAAATAAATAAAAGTTGTTTTCCCTTAACAGAGCCATAGATAATTGTGATTTAACTACTCTGATGGTTCTGAAATTCTAGATACTCTCCCAAAGACACAGTAAGCCGCCATGCACAGCCCAATCCTACCTTATAGTTGTAGGGTTTGTTGGAGAACAATTCAGGGCTCATGTAATAGGGTGTGCCAATGAGGGTGCTTGCCATGTCACAGTGGTTCTCTAACACTCGGGCGATTCCTAGGTCACCCACTTTGATGATATTTGTTCTTGTTAGGAAGACATTTTGAGTTTTCAGATCTCGATGAAGGATATGTTTTTCATGTAAATACTGAGAGAAGAAATAAAATTTCATTACATATACACTGATTTACTTATTTCTAGCTTCTTAAAATCATCAGTAATTGCATGAGCTAAAGAGTTTTAGTTACGTAACTACCAAAACATTACTGATTTATAAACTCTAAAGGAAAAGGTTTACACTAGGCATGGTGGTAAAAGCCTGTAGTCCTAGTCCATGGAGGCTGAGGCAGGAGGACTGCAGTGAATTCAAGGCCAGTCTGGGCTACATAGTTGAGTTCTAGGCCAGCCTGAAGTACATAGTGAGACCCTGTCTCAAAAACAAAACTGAAAACAAAACAAAACAAAAAAATAATGTAAAAGGTCTCACAACTTTCAAAGCAAGAAAATTAAATTCTATATATTAATTAGCCCAGTATCTTCCAAAATTGTTTCCTGGTGCCTTGACAATTATATCATTTTAGTATTACATGGATCTAGTTTTAAAATATGCTTACAAACTCCCACTGAAGGTAGCACAATTTAAACACTATCACGGGCACACTCCTTTCCTCATGAAATCCTGAGCTTAATAACATTTTCAAATACAGTATAACAATATCACTTTTATTTATTTATATTTTGGTTTTTTGAGACAGTCTTGCTACATCGTCCAGGCTGACCTTCAACTTACGATGATCCTCCTGCCTCAGCCTCCCGAGTGCTGGGGTTATAGATGTGCGCCACCCTGCTCCTAAGATCATTTTCATTTAAAGACTATCTCAGAATTTAAACAAGGCCAACTGATTCTAGACAGCTCCACCTAGTTCCTGAATAGCAGTTAGTATACAGTCTCACTCTGAGGTACTGCCCATCAAACAACACACTTGTTTTGCATTTCCACCCACTACTCTGCAAAAATGATAAAATCCCAAATCCTCACCACCTAGAAACAATAGTTACCCTGAGTTCAATTCCCGGTACAAAAAAAAAAAAAAATAGAAACAATAGTTAGCCCAGCCACGTTTCAGCATGACACAGCTGACCAGCTGACCAAACAGGTCTTTGCTCTTTGTCAACTTAGGAGACCTTAAAATTGACTTTGCTATAAATGATTTCAAAAATTTGTATTTCTTGTAAATAGACATGAAATCTATGTCTACTACAGATATCTTTCAGAAACATTCAAATGCTACAGCAAGAACTGAGTCTACTTCATAAAAACTACATTTTTTTCCCCGCGTCAGTATCGCACAAGTAGCTAAAACTGGCCTTGAACTCTATGTAGTCCACACTGGCCTCAAACTCCAATCCTCCTCCCTCAGCTTCTCAAAAACTAGGATTTCTGCATGCACCACCTTGCCCAGCTTAAAAAAAAAATACATTTTAAAAATGTAAGCACTTAGGAAAAAATTTCCTAACATGCATTTTCCATGTTCCTGCCTTGTAGCAAGTAGTATACTGTATGTAGACAGTACCTGCAAAGCCATGGCAATCTGTACAAACCACTCCACCACTTGACGCTCAGGCAGCAGCTGGCCTTTCTGCTCCTTGAGCTTCCGGTACAGATCACCTCCTTCACAGAAGCCCATGACGATATAGAGCAGGCCGTCTCCTTCCCATGACTCCTTGTAAGTGACAATGTTGGGGTGCTTCAGCTGAGACAAGAGCTGAGCTTCCTGTTCAGCAGCTTGCCGCTCCCGGCTGGTTGTGTTTCGGAGGTTCAGTTTTTTGATGACATACTAACGAAGAAAACATGGATTTTATTAAGGAAACATACAGTTTTGCAAGTTCTTAAGTACCTAAAAGCTTGCAAGAATGTTCTGAAAATCAACCTTCTAGAGCCTGTTACATAATGTATCCATTTTGTTTTATACAAAGCATAAAACTGGGGAAAATACTTGCTAATACTAATGATGCCTTTTGTAAGATAGATTCATGGCCAAGTGAGGTCACAAACATCCTTTCCACCCGCATGTCACAGTTCCACTGATGCAGAGGCCTGTGGTCTCAGCTGTTTTGGAGACTGAGGCAGATGGATCACATGAGCCTCAGAACTCAAGGCCAGCCTGTACAACATAGCAAGACACTGTTACAAAACAAAACACAACTACAAGACACATTTTCACTAACAGCTAAAGAGTGAATCAAAAAAAATTTTTTAAAAAGAGTGAATCTAAGCTCACATACCATTAGATCAATCATAAAATCTGGAACTGTGGATGTAAGTCACAGGTAGAACACTTGCCTAGCATACACAAAGCCTTAGGTTCAATACCCAGTACCACGAAAGAAAAAAAAAATGTGTTAAAGATTCCTTAAACTCTAAGTTCTCCTTACACCTGCCAACAGAATGGGTCTATGAATTACATTAGATTCGGTTTTTTACTTTTTGTCTTTTTGAGACAGGGTCTTGCTGTGCAGTTCAGGCTGGCCTTGAACTCACTTTGTAGCCTAGGCTGGCCTTGAACTCACAACGATCCTCCTGCCTCAGCCTCCTGTACATTAGATTTTTAAAGGAATACATAGTTCAATTAAGTTAAAAATCAATAATCCTCAACATATACATTTATTCCCCCTTTTTAAAAAATCAGTAATCTCTAACACCTAATACACTACCCTCAACTCAAAGACCATACAATTAACTTCTTCAATAAACACATAAAAATGTGCTTTGTGAAATATAAACTCCTGCTCAAAGAGATCAAGTAATCTTCCATCCTTAGCTCAAAAATCCAATGATCTCTCAGTGCCCACTGAATAAGTCTCCCCTATGCTTGAGCTTGTGTTCCAAGCAGAACAACAGCTCCTGAGACAGGAAGACTAGAGGAATGGGTACTATACTTAAGCAGTACATCTCTTCTCAGTTTTCCTGGTGCAACTGGGTTGTCTTGCCTTGGTGTAACTATTAATAGTGTCTCCTTTCAGTTTCAAACTTGCCTTAGCTTCTACAGTATATGTTCACCCTATCAATAAACCATACTGAGGGCTGGAGATGTGGCTCAGTGGTAGAGTGCTTGCCTAACATATGTGAGGCCCTGAGTTCAATCCCCACTACTGCCTAAATAAATAAATCACAGTTAAGAACTGGTTTGTTATCTTTTGGGTGGTGAGATAAGGTGCTTTAGTTGAAGCAGAGGAGTAGTGACATTACATTTAAATTTCAGAACGATCATTGAGGCTGAAAGTGTAAGCAGGTGGCAGGGATCGCTTAAGACTCAACAGCCACGGCTCAGCTAGAAAGAATGGTACTGGTACGCGGAGTTGGGGTGGTACCAGTGGAGATACAGAGGAGGCCTGCCGGTTTAGTGACAGACCAAGAGAATCAGAGTTGGGGGACGGCATTAAAGATGACCCCCACGTGTCTGCCTTAGACAACTTTAAGGGTGATGATACTGCTCATTGAAGTGGGGGCCGCGAGAGGTTCGACAGGAATTGATGAGCTGAGTTTTAAGTGAGTCCAGCAGGCTGCCGTGGAACCGTCTGGGACCCTTCATTCAAGGTGCAATGTTTGTCAGCCGCTGTGTTAGACCCCGGGAACGCACGATCGCTGCGCTCATGGTATTGTCAAGGATGCGGGAAAAGGTGTGCAGATCAAGCACACTAGTTGATACTACACAGGAAAAGGAGAGGAAGTTCGGGGAGCGTGTTACACGGAGTGCTGGCCTCGTTTTGGTAATCTGGAACGATTTCCCTAAGGAAACGCCATCCAAGATGAGCCCCTTCGCATTACCCCGGCCTAGTCCTCTGGACAGCGCCCTCAGCCCTCCCCGCCCCTAACCGGCCCCAGCCTCGCGGACCTGCCTGCCGTCCTGCCGGTGCTTCACGAGCGTCACCTCCCCATAGCTGCCCCTGCCCACGACCCTCACGTAGCAGTAGGAGGCCAGGGGCATGTTCCTGGCGCGGGCCCACAGTCAGGATGCGGCTGCGGCGGCAGGTAGGGCAGTGGGCTACGGCGGTAGGCCCAGCTCATGCCCGAGAGGCCGCGGCTAGGAGGGCGGCGTAGGCCGCGGGGCTGGAATAGGAGACCAAGGCGCCAGCCCACCGCGACGCCGCTGCCATAGCGATCCCCGCCGGGGAGGTTCTGCGCATGCTCGGACATCCAGAAGGAGCAGCCATAGAGTTGACGCTGGAGCAGCCAGAGCGGTTCCACCGCCCGGGGAGGACCAGCCATAGAGCCAGAGCGTTGGGCAGCCAGAGCGACTCGGCCGAGTCCTCCGCAAGCTTCTTACGCTTCCGTTTCACAGCGCTTCTGCCAGTGCTAATAAAGGTTGACTAGTTCCTAGTCGCTGAGTGCTTAGTGGTTCTGAGCTCCTTACAAGTATGGTCCAGTCATTCTACAGATAGTTATTGACTGCCTGTCTGCTTGGCCCAGGAAGTTTCTGCCGTCCTGGAGCTCACGTTCCAGTGAGCGAGTGACGGGTTCTAGCCCCACCAGTAACTTTTCCTATGTCTGCTTCTTCACATGCCCAACAATCTACACATCCAGACCAGTTCGTCTTTTTGATACTTGGCAAAGTAAATACACTGTATATATCAGCAGAGCACTTCGATCCTAAAAACTTCAGCCTACTTGCTGAGAACCGTAAAGAACTCAGTACAGCGTAACGACTTACACCACTGCGATGAGAGGCTTGAGCAATCTCCAGCCCAACTCCTAAGAGTTCAAAATCAGATCTCCAGGAGGATCCGGGTCCCCTTTAAAATGCCTGAGAAAGCTCAAGGCTGGCAAAAAAATTTACCACTTCTTCCAACACCTCCCTTTCCAAGAGGTTGTTTTTGTTGTTGTTGTTGTTGTTTTCTTTTTGGTTTTTTTTAGACAGGGTCTCACTATGTAGTCCAGGCTGTCCTCAAACTCACGGCGATCCTCCTGCCTCAGCCTCCCCAGTACTGGGATTACAGAGGTGCGCCATCATGCCCAGCAAGAGCATTTACTTTTAGAAAAGGCATGTAATTATGAAACCTTTCCCTATTCCGTATATGTATGTATCTCCAGCAACCAGGAATATTTCAAAACCAAAATCCCTTCCTTTGAAATATCATCTGCCAGGCATGGTGACATACTCCTGTAATCACAGCACTCTGCAGGCTGAGGCAGGAGGATCGTTGTGAGTTTGAGGCCAGCCTGGGCTACGAGTGAGTTCAAGGCCAGCCTGAACTGCATAGTGAAACCCTGTCTCAAACAGAGACAGGCGCACCTCTGTAATCCCAGTACTGGGGAGGCTGAGGCAGGAGGATCGCCTTGAGTTTGAGGACAGCCTGGACTACATATGAGACCCTGTCTAAAAAAAAAACCAAAAAGAAAACAACAACAACAACAACAACAAACAAAAACAAAGGAGGAGGAGAGGAAGAAGGAGGAGAAGAAGGAGAAGAAAGGGTTAGACCTTACCTCTGTCTCCCAGTCTATGTGGGAGGTTGCAGCCCTAGCTTCCATATATACATATATTGGAATATAATTCAGCCTTGTAAGGGAATGAAATTCAGACATTCTACCACATGAATGAACCTTCCATAATTGCCAACTAGCAGACGCAGTTGGTTTAATTACGTTTCCACTGACCAACTCTGTAATTTTCTACTTTTTTTTTATCTAAGTAAGAACCCCTACTCACTCTTTTCTTCTCTCGTTGTCCCTTAAAAATGCCCAGCCACCCCTACAGAAATTGTAATTGAGCTCAATGTTTTCCCCTACTTTCAGCAGTTCCTGAGTACAAATCTGTTTTCCCCTAATTTAGCTAATGCCTAGTTTTGTCATCTTTAAAAATAGTATTAACTACAGTTCAGTATTTATTTGTAGTTTCTTTTGTTTGGTTTTCTTTTCTTTTTTGTTTTTTGTTTTTTCCAGTACCGGGAATTGAACTCACGACCTTGTGCTTGCCAGGCAGGCACTGTGCCGCTGAGCTAAATCCCCAGCCCCTGTTTGGTTTTCTTGTACACTGAAATTTGCGTTGTGGACAGAATGTGCAAACCTTAAATGTACAGTCAGATCATTTTGATAAATACCTTTATCCAAATCTATCAAGATACAGACCACAGATACGGAAAATTAGAACCCTTATGCATTGGTGATGGGAATATAAAATGGTTCAGCTTGGTGGGGGAAATTGTATTGTGGTCCCCCAAAAAATTACACCTAGAATTACCATATTATCTAGCAATTTCACCTCTAGGTAGAGACCCAGGAGAATGGAAATCAGAGACCCAAACAGATATCTGTACACTTATATTCACAGGAACATTATTCACCCTAGCCAAAGACGGAGGCAATGTAAGTGCCCACCACTGGGTGCGTGGATAAACAAACTGTGGTATATACATATGTTGGAATATTATTCAGCCTTATAAAGGAAGAAAATTCTGACCTACAACTCGGATGAACCTTGAGGACATTATAATAAGTGAAATAAGGTAGTCGGAAAAGGCCAAGTATTGTGTGACTTCCCTTACATATCTAGAGTCGGCACACTCACAGAAACAGAGATGTAGAATGGCAGTAATGGTTGGGAGAGGAGGACATTGGGAGCTGGTGTTTAAAGGTTACAGAACTTGGGGGAAAATGACAACGTTCTGGAGCTGGATGGCGATGACTGCACAACAGAGTAAATGCACTGTGTCACTCAATTGTATGTTTAAAAATGGTTAAAGTCAAGCTAGGCATAGTAGCACATACCTCTGATCCCAGCACTGAGGGAGGCTGAGGCATGAGGATCGAGGCCAGCCTGGACTACACGGTGAGTTCAAAGCAGCCTATACTACGTAGCAAGACCTTGTCTAAAACAAACAAAAAATGATTAAAGGGAAACTTCATATTTTGTGTATTTTCCCACAATAAAAATGGTTAATTTTTTTAAGTTTCAAAAAATATGGAGTAGTGTTTTTAACCTTTATTTCATTACCACCCCCATAAGGAGATTTTTAGACAGCTTTTAAAATCATTTTCTCACCATGAAACATTAATACCACAAATACACACTTGACCTGTTCATGCCCTGTGGCCACTGAGAGGGACACAAACCACATTGCTATCTGAAGTATTTTTGCCCCCCTCCAAGAAACAATTAGTGCTTTTTGGTCCATTGGAGACACTATCACTGCTGTGAAGAATTGTCTCTCTCCCCTCCATCTATCTATCTATCTATATCTATATCTACATATGAAAGAACATTACTGTCACCATAAAATATTCATCATGCCCCTTCTCAGTTAATCCCCGGGGCCCTCCTAGAGGCAAACACTCTGCTGTTTCTTTTCACCGCACATTCGTTTGGTCTAATGGGAAAATTAAATTATATGTTATATACTCTTTTGCTTCTAGTATTGCCATCCGCATAATGTCTAAGAAATCCATCTGTGTTGCCACTTGTACTGCACTGCGTGTTTGAGGGTCTGTTTATTTCCCGTCCCGGTGTGAACTGCGCCCATGGCAGGTTGCACACAGCTCCAGGGTCTGGGCACCACCGCTGTGAAACCGGGCTGCCATGCAGTGAGCTGATGCCTTGGGAAAAGAGGTCAGCCAAGCCAAAGGAAGCCCCGGGAATCCCGGGGAGTGGCCAGAAGCTGAAGAGGCACCCGAAGGAAGAGCTATAGAGACCTGAAGGGCAGAACTCGTCTCCACAGGAGTTAGAAGGTTCCTGGAGGAGGTGGCTGGGAAAATGTACAGTGTCACGTTGATCTATCTGATCTTCCGCAAGGGCTAGAAAAACAGGTCAGAAGGTCACCCACGCTTAAGGACGTTAAACCTTTCCCAGAAGCTGCTCTGAGCCAAAGTCCAGGACAAGCAAACAGATCAGTGAGGCCTCTGGACCCCCTCGTCTCATCAGGGTCAGGGCAACCAGCTCGCCCCACCCCTGGACAGGGTGGGCTGACCAGCAGCTGTGTCTGCCCAGTGTGCTGAGGCTTGTGGGCGACAGGGAGAATTTGGGCATAAAAATGAAGAAGCTGCATGCACGAGAGGCGTCTCTAAGAACTCTCTTAGATCCTCAGCCCTGCTGCTTCTGTCTTCCTTGCAAGGCAAAGGGAATGTCTGTCCTTGCAGAGAGGGCTTGGGAGTGAGAGGCCCGGGTGTGAGCCCTGGTTCTGTCGCTTGCTGTGGGACCAGTGTCCCAGGAACGTCACAAGACTGGAAATTGGACAATAAAGGGCCGAGAGCAAGGTGTGGGTCATAATGAGCCCTCGAGTGTGAACACTTGGCATCCTTACCCCCCCTCCCTCCTGCCGGGCATCCTCGTCCGGATGGCAGCACAGCGAAGCTGATTTATGTCCCATTTTCCAAATCTGAGTGACACAATCCAGAATGATGAAGCAACCAGCTGGAAGCATGGGTCGGCAGTAAGCCTCCCTCCTGCAACAGACCCACTCTGACAGAACCACTGTCAGGGCTGGTGTCGTTAGAACCACAGGTGTGGCTAAGTGTCACAGCACTGTCCAAGCCACCATATCCAGCCCTCTGGCCTAACCGTGACTGAAAAGTGGATGGATGCTTAAAGGATTTCTAGGCATGATGACACATGCTGTGATCCCCGCACTCTGGAAGGCTGAGGCAGGAGGATTGCAAGGCTGAGTCCAGCGTGGGAAACTTAGTGGCTTAGCAAAACCCTGTCCTAAAAGGGGGCGGGCACAGGGGGAAAAGCTCAGTGTGAAGGCCTTGGGTTCAATCCCCACTACTAAGAAATTTTTTTAAAGTATTGCTTAATGTAGTTTAAAATCCATTTTAACTGTGACTTCTTGCCAAATGTCCCTGTATCACCAGACACAGGATGAGATGTGCTGTGAAGGGGCCTCACAGTTCACGTCACTGAGTGCAGTTCTATAGACCAGGCCGTGGTCTGCTTGGGAGTTCACACAGCCCAGAGCTGGGGACCCCCCCACCCCCGCCAAGGAGCGGGCTTCTGCTGCTGGTTTTTGATCCGCCCATCACTGTATTTGCCTTCACTGTGTCTAATGTTTAATCGGTGTTTATCCAGCACTGTATTGATTGATGGTCTGAGCAAAGTGACAGGGCAGCAGGGGCCTGGAGACCATGGATGGTGCCATGGGGCTTCGGACACTGCTGTGTGTGTATCTGGTGTCCCTCCTCACCCTGCAGGCTATGCCTGCTTTGGGGTCAGCCCCACGCAGGGCCAAGGGCAGTGAGGTATGTGGCGAAGCCTTTGGGGCAGAGACAGGCAGATCCTCCTGGAGGGGCCCCTGGAGGGACACAAGACTCGCCCTTCAGGATCGGGACCCTCTCCACCCACTCTCAAGCACCTCTGACTGGACAGGTCACCCCCTATAGCAGGAGGCGAGGCTGAGGAGCAGAGGACATGCTGTACCCCCATCCTTGCGCTGGAGGGGACAGGCGGTGGTCTCCGAGCATTCCCACTCAGCCCTGGCCCTGGTTTTGTTTTGCAGAAGCGACAGACCGTGGACACAGTGAGTGAGACTCTGGGCAAAGGGGTCTGTGACGGGGCCTTTATCACAGGTTTGCTTTCCCTACCCTCCTCCGCCGGTGCTACAGGCAGAGGGAGCTCCTGTCTCTTGGCAACGGGGGACTGCTCCCACCTCACCTCATGCCCTCTGGGCAGACGCAAGGGGTTCCCTCTGTGAGATCCTGCCTCTTCTTCTGGCACCTGGCCCCCTCCCTCAGAGGTGGGCCCAGCGTGACACAGAGGCTCCTGGGGCTCACAGGCCCTGTCCCAGGCCCCAGCTCCCTGCCATCTCCTTTCAGGCAGTCAACGGCGTATTCATCCAGAGTCTGAAAGTCAACTGCAAAGTTACATCCCGCTTCGCTCACTACGTCATCACCAGCCAAGTGGTCAACACAGCTGACAGTGCCAGGGAGGCGGCCTTCGAGGTGGAGATCCCCAAGACAGCCTTCATCAGCGACTTTGCCATGTGCGTGTCCAGCCTGGCTTCCACACCTTACCCAGGCGTGTCCGTCCCTCTGTCCCAGCCTAAGACCAGAGTGCCCTGACAGTACAGACCATCTCCTCACTTCCAAAGGAGGCACGGCCAGCCTAGCACTGAGGGAAAGAAGAAGCCCTTTGGGTCTGTTCTTGACTCCTACCTTAGAGGCTAACGGGGGCCTCTGATGGGCTGTGTTCAGCCTCAGGCCCGAGGAGCAAAAAGGCCAGGCTCTGCGCTGACCTCCATGGCCGTGGCTGCCCACAGCAGTGCTCGCGGTGCCCCGAGCAGGGAACAGTGGGCGCTGTCCTCCACAGCCTCGCACGGACAGGGCCTTCTCAGGGTCTAGGCCCAGCGCACCTCCAGTGTGAAGCATCTGTGCGGTCAAGGTGCAGTAGCACCTCTGAGGACCTTCTTTCCTCCCCACAGCACAGCGAACAAGAACACATACATCGGGGACATAAAGGACAAAGTGACTGCATGGAAGCAATACCGGAAAGCCGCCATCTCCGGGGACAATGCTGGCCTTGTCAGGTGAGTCCCAGGCCCTGCTGGCCTGGCCTCCTCCAGTCAAACAGAGCTGAAGGCTACAAGCTGGCTTCGGCTGGAGAGCAGCCCCAGAGGACAGAGGTATGGGCAAACTCCCCAGACCCAGATGGCGGCACGGGTGCACTGGGCAAGGCTGGTACACAGGCCCAGACCTCTTGGGGAGAAGTAGGGCCCCCACCCTGAGCCTTGACCTTGATCAGCCTTCCAAGACAAGGGTGAGGGTCTGGGGTACCGGGGGAAACAGCACTAGAGCAAGAGAGATTGATTCTGAGGGCCATGCTCTGGGTGAGAAGGATCCACATATCATGAGCCGTGCGTCTGCCTTTTCTTGCCTCTGGTGGTACATCTAGGGCCTCCGGGAGAAACATGGAGCAGTTCACCATCCATATCACCATCGGTCCCCGGAGTAAGGCCACGTTCCAGCTGACCTACGAGGAGGTGCTAAAACGAAAACTTACCCAGTACGACATCACCATCAAAGTGAAGCCCAAGCAGCTGGTGCATCACTTTGAGGTAAATCACAGGTCTGTGGCCCGCTCCTGTCTTCTTACACTCACCAAGGCTCCTAGCACTGGTTCAGCGCCTACTGCCACCTCGGACAGCAGAACACCAGGCAGGGGACTGGCTCCTCAGGGCTGCTTCCAGTGGGCGTTTTTTGGCCAGAGAGCTCCTTGAATCTTCCAACACACTCCTCATTTGCAGACCTCAGTTTGCTCATGTGTTAGATGGGGGATTGCTGCATTTCCCAGGACTGGTGCAAGACATGCTGAACATGCAGGTAATGCGTAAGTCAGAAAGTCCTGGGCAGCCTGAGGGGCTGTGATCATCGATGGCGTCGAGGTGGTGGCTGAGCTGAGGGGTTCGGGCAAGCGCACCGTCAATGGTAAACAGTTTCTGAGCGCCTGCAATGTGCCAGGCTGTGTGCTGAGGGCTGGATGGGCACTAGACACAGTAGGTAATCAGGTCACATGCTGGCTCCTGGCTGAGCCTTGATGCTGGCCCAGATGGGGCACTGGAACAGAATGTGCTTCAATGGTATAGATCGACGTGGACATCTTTGAGCCCCAGGGGATCAGCAAGCTGGACGCGCAGGCCTCCTTCCTCACCAAGGAGCTGGCAGCTCAAACTATCAAGAAATCCTTCTCAGGGAAAAAGGTATGTGCGACGGCCGGGGACAGAGATGGGCCGTCAGGGACGTCCTCACCTGGCTCACCCCTTGTGGAATGTCCAGGCTTAGGCTAGGAGCCAGGTAGGGCTGCAGGCTGCCCTCAGGCTGAGTGAGACAGGTGCCAGCCGGTTGGCATCACAGTGAATCTCAGCATTCCTGACTCTCAAGCAGTTTAGCAAGGCCTGCGTCCTGAGGCTGGGAAGGCGCCAGTTCCAGTTCTGCCCTTCGTTGGTCCACTGTACATTCCTGGCTTGCTTGAGACTCAGTTTCCTCTTTGTCTCCCTCAGCCCTTGGGACAGCATGCAGGGAGATGAATGGCACATAAGCCAAGCTTGGATGGTTTGTGCTGGGGACTCCGGGCTTCAGTTTTCTTGGGAACACAGTTAGGTTTGGAAAGCCCTAGCCTTGGTCTACCCAAGGATTTGCCCCTTGGCACCCACCCATTTGCAGGCGTCCTAAAAGCACCCTACATCTCCCCACCCAGCTCTTGGAGAAGTATGGCATGTAGGTGGGTGGCCCAGGGAGTTCTCTGCTTCCTAACCTGCCTTCAACCTGAGCCAAGTGCAAATCCTTTCGTTCTTACATACCTTGTAGAGTGACTCCATAGCAATTCATTGGAAAGAAATGTCTGGCGCAGTCAGGCAGAATTCCTTTTAAACAAAGTAGGACCCCTCTGTGTGTTAGCAAACACACTCGCTTTCCACGGGGGACATTTTTAATGGCATTTTTTTTCAAGTATTGGATTGTTTTGTAGCCTTGCTTTTTGACTTGACAGCTTGAATTGATTACAATCTCAGATTTATGTTACCATACTGCTATTATCTTGTTTCTGTTTGTATACCCCAAATGGTGGTGCTTATGGTAGAAAAACTCCAAAGTTTAGCAGTATAAAAGTGAAGGAATGGGCCTTATCTCCCTCCACATAAAGGCATGCGCTCTTAGCAGCTAGGTGAGTGGCCTGCCAGGCTAATTTGTGCCCCGCCCCCACACCCACCTTCTTACTTTGTCTTTGAAAACATCCTGCTTGTGGCCACACAAACCCCTCATCCTTCACACTCTCCCTGGCTCCAGGGTCACGTGCTCTTCCGCCCCACCGTGGGCCAGCAGCAGTCCTGCCCCACATGCTCTACCTCCTTGCTGAACGGGGACTTCAAGGTGACCTACGATGTCAACAGGGACAAGCTCTGTGACCTCCTGGTGAGCCCAAAGCTTCTGGCCCAAGCCCAGGGGGCAGGCCTGGGGTGCTAGTGAGCAGCCTCCTCACTCTCCTCTCTTTCAGGTGGCCAATAACTACTTCGCCCACTTCTTTGCCCCCCAAAACCTGACTAACATGAGAAAGAACCTGGTGTTTGTGATTGACATCAGTGGGTCCATGGAGGGCCAGAAAGTGAAGCAGGTAAGTTGCAGCTGTAAGCAGTTCAGCCGGCAGGAACTTCCTCTCACTCCACACCGGGTTGGCTGCCAGAGTCTGGCTTGGGACTCGTGCTCCTGGGGGAGGCAGCGCCATTTAACCAAAGCCCCAGCCGTGGGAGGCTCTGAAGTGAGCTGTTGCTTCCTGGAGATTCGAGCTTGGGAAGCACATTCACTTCTCAACAGCGAAACTGCGGGTGACAGTGGCACCCACCGTCTGCCCCAGGAGCAGTGAAGGGAAGAAGAAGCCTGGCTGCTACACATGCTGAAAATAGTTAGGGCGGTCTGCGGGAGGTGTCCTGCTGCAGGGCCCACTGCCCACAGGCTCTCAGGGCCCTGCCCTTGGTATGGCGAAACCGTGGCCGGACAGGCCAAGTTGAGGAAGCACCCCTTCCTACCCGAACTGCTGCCCATCTCTTGTCGCCATGCTGGATTCCTTTGCATTCTGCCCCTCCTGCACCCCCAGCGCCAGCAAGAGATGTTCCTCTCTTGGGGCCACCTGGCTGGCCTGTCCACTCCCTCCTGCTCTCTCTCCGTCTACTGTGGGTCTCTGAAATGGGCATCTGGAGTTGACAGAGGTCTCTATGCTGTGGTGACCCTGGTGCCGTGTCCCGCTACTGACAGTCCTGTCCCTGCAGACCAAGGAAGCACTCCTTAAGATCCTGGGGGACATCCAGCCCGAGGACTACTTTGACCTGGTCCTCTTCGGGACCCATGTGCAATCTTGGAGGGGCTCGCTGGTGCAAGCATCCGAGGCCAATCTGCAAGCGGCTCGAGACTTCGTGGGGCGCTTCTCTTTGCATGGAGGTAAGGGCAGGGTCTCAGGCCACCACTGGATCACCTCTGTTTCCTTGGAATAGGGGTGTAGCCTGATCTCGTTTGTCTCCTTTACAGCCACAAACCTAAATGGAGGTTTGCTCCAGGGAATTGAGATCTTGAACAAAGCTAAGGAAAGCCTCCCAGAACTCAGCAACCATGCCTCCATCCTCATCATGCTGACAGACGGCGAGCCAACCGAGGGTAAGCACCTGGAGGCGCCTCGGGAGGTGGTGATCTCCTTGTCCCCAGAGGTGTTTACACTGACACTGGAAACCTAACCATTGGAGATGCTGTTGGGGGACAGAAAAGCTTAGGGCTGGCGGGGCGTGGTGGCGCACACCTGTAATTCCAGCACTTGGGAGGCTGAGGCAGGAGGATCGTTGTGAGTTTGAGACCAGCCAGGGCTACAAAGTGAGCTCTAGGCCAGCCTGAACTGCATAGTGAGAACCTGTCTCAAAAAGACAAAAAAAAAAAAAAAAGCTTAGGGCTAAGTCAAACACTGGTCTAAAAACACAGTGGAGACCACGAACTCTGTGGAATCTTTACAGTTTACCTCTTCCCGTGAGTTGGGAAATGGGGACTTTCCCGCTAACAAAGGCCTGGAGGATGGGCAGGATTCCTGGGTTAAGTGTACGAACTCAGCACCTCCTTGTGCCAAGCCCAGGACAAGGGACTGAGAAGAGATAGAGAACAAGACCTGTCTCTTCCCTGAAGGAGCCCAGGATCTTCAGGGGGAAGCAGACCCAAGCCTTTGAAAGCACAGGGTACCACAGGCCTGGGGAACCACAGACAGGGGGATACCTGGCCCAGGAGGGGTCTGGAAAGGTTCTTGGAGGAAGTGAGTCCTAAACTCAGTCTAGAGAAAGAGGCAGGAAGGGACCCTTGGCAGAGGGAGCAGCTTGAGTGAGTAGGAAAGCATACGCACTGCCCAGAAACAGTGGGCCATGCCCCACAGGGAGAGGCGAGGGTGGAGAGGTTGGTGGGGCCTTGCAAGCCATGGCAAGGAGCCATGGGGGGGGAGGTTAGAGTGGGGCAGACCTACTCCCTGTGGACCCACGGGTGAGCAGGGCCTGGGAGCAGCTCTACTACCGGTTGCTGCAGTTAACCAGGCGAGCTGGGGGAGGAGCCTCCTCCGTGCCCAGGGGATGGAGGTGGTCTGCGCTGGCTTCCTGTCACTGTCTGGATGTGTGGCTGCAGGGGTGACGGACCGTGCCCTAATCCAAAAGAACATCCGCAACGCCATCCAGGGCAGGTTCCCGCTCTACAACCTGGGCTTTGGCCACGACCTGGACTTTAACTTCCTGGAGGTCATGTCCATGGAGAACAATGGATGGGCCCAGAGAATCTATGAGGACCACGATGCCGCCCAGCAGCTACAGGTCTCGCCTACACCCCTCATCTATCATCCACAGCATGCCCGTTGGAAACCCATCAGTCTAGAGCAGAAGATAAAGCTCTGATACAGAATACAAATCAGCTGTGTGACCTCGAACCAGTTACTTAACCTCTCTGAGGCTCAGATTCCTCCTCTCAAGTGGGGATCCTGACACCCCCTTCTGTGAACAGACTGTTCGTCAGGTACCCAGGGAGCTTGGCTCTGAGACCACACCCCCTATCCTTTCAGGGTTTCTATAAGCAGGTAGCCAATCCCTTGCTGGTGGACGTGGATCTGCAGTACCCTCAGGATGCTGTCTCGGCCCTGACCCAGCACCGACATAAACAGTACTACGACGGCTCGGAGATCATGGTGGCTGGGCGCATTGCGGACCACAAACTGGGGAGCTTCAAGGCTGATGTGAAGGCCCAAGGGGTAAATGGTGGCCCACGGAGGGCAGAGAGGCCAGACAGCTTCCAGAGCCTCCAAGCCGACAGTGTTCTCCAGGGGCCTTGCTTTCCGCAGAGTAGTGTCTCACCCCCACCCTGCCACCATCACCAAAGGCCTGGGGACTGGACAGGCTGCAGTGGGGCAAACATCCCTCAGTCACTTGTAGCTCCATGACCCCAGACGGGCCACCTCTTACTTGTCACATCATTCTTCGGGGGTGCAAGACAGCGGGAGTCCAATACGCTCCCCCCGCCCACTTTACAACCATCTCCCAGACACCTGCCGCGTACCAGGCTTTGCAGCGCAGCGCAGCGCGTGTGTGTATGTGCACAAGGGTGGGCGGAGAGGTCCCAGCTGCGGAGCCCTGGCCCTGCCCTCCATGGCATAGACTTGAGCCACTGTGTAGTTCAGGGTTCCACACTCAGGCTTTGAGTGCAGAGAGCTGAGCTGGACCCTAGCTCTGCCCTTACCAGGGTGGTGAGGCCACACACCCTATGCTTTCAGGATTTAGCAAGTGAATTCAGCAAGTGAGTTCAGGTCTCTCTAGGCCTCAGCTGCTTTTCTGTACTGCACAGGTAACACGGCATTAGGCTGTTTCATGGGAAAGTGGAATAATCCATACAGTAGACTTATGCAGTGCCTAGTACAAGGGACACTCTTGGGAAGGGGCTCCACTGTTGTAGCTGGGGAGAGAGGGCATATTCGTGTGCTGAGGCAAGTGGGCAGCCTGCCCGGAGCTCAAGGGGCATTTGGAGAAGCAGATCACAGCAGAAACAGCTGGGTGCTTGTTTGTCTGTCCCAGACAGGGTAACTCCATGAGGGTAGGGCCTGGTCCTCCCACCCCACCAGATTCCAGGGCCTAGGCTGAGCCTGGCTTGCAGGGCCTGCTTGGCCAGCATCCGTAGAATCAATGAATAAATGAACAAGCAAATGGGCATGAGGAGGACAGGCTCAGGAAAGGAGGTGATGCCTAGATCAAAGTTGCAGAGACCAGAAGCTAGTGGGACTCCTCAGCACCTGGACACCAGCTAAGGCTTGTGTTTACCGTGGCACCTGCCTCTCTCACCACCTCAACTCTCAGGAGGGCCGGGAATTCAAGACAACCTGCCTGGTGGATGAGGAAGAAATGAAGAAACTGCTCCAAGAGCGTGGCCACATGCTGGAGAACCATGTGGAGCGCCTGTGGGCCTATCTCACCATCCGGGAGCTTCTGGCCAAACGGTAGGGGCCCTGCAGTTGCCAAGGGTGGGCATAGCCCACCCCAGAATCCCCGCAGCCCTTGAGGTGAACAGAGAAGGGGTGGTTCTGGCCCTTCGGGGTTAGGAGTGGTTCAGACTTACTTTCTTCCTTCTACTCTGGCTGTCAGGTAACATCAACCAGTTGGTCAACAGTGTGGGTGGGGTGCTCTGGGACAGTTCTGTTTGCCCCGCTGAGCCATTTTGGAAGAGACAGCCATTTATGGAGCAGCTGGTGTGTCCAAACACCCTCATTTAGGCCCCACAGTCAGTGGAGAAATTCCCTCTAATCCCCCTGTAACAGATGAACAGAGGCTCGGAGAGACCGGAGCACTGGCCCTAGGTCTCACTGCTGTTAAATTTCCAGTGTATCTCCGCAGCATATCCTTCAGCCCTATCAAGTGTCCAGGTTTTCTCTGTGGGATGTCTTGAAACCCTGAGATCCTGAAGGCCACCGCCACTGAATAGGGCACCACAGGTGCTTAATGCACATTTGTGAAATGAACGAACAAGTGAACAAGCAGGTGCAGGAAGAGGGAACCCAAGTCCGTCGCCGCCTGAGCCACGTGTGTCCTGCATGCAGGATGAAGACCGAGGGGGAGGAGAAGGCCAGCTTGTCAGCCCAGGTCCTGAAGATGTCACTGGACTATCAGTTTGTGACACCACTGACCTCCATGACCATCAGGGGCATGGCGGATGAGGATGGGCTGGAGCCCACCATTGACAAATCTCCAGACGGTATGGGCACTAAGGGTCTAATCTCCAGAGGGTATGGGCACTAAGGGAGGGGGAGGCTGTGGGCCAAAACCCTTCTGGGCTTTAATTCTCTTCTTTTTTCCTCCTTTCCAGATTCCCCACCCTTGGGTGAGTTTCCAGTCACCTTTAGTGCGGGACTTCTGGCTGCCGGCAGGTGGTACATGAGCCAATCTTGGGCATACAGCTCCCCGGTCCCATTCCCTCTGTTTTTTGCCTACCCCGAGACACCCTTGCCCACCTCACCCCAAACTTGGCACCGCACCCTCCGTGTTTCGTGAGCTTTGCACAGCCTGATCACCCTGCCAGTTTCTGGGGCCCCACCACAAGAGCATGCATCTGCGAGGCACCGGGCTGGGGCCAGATCCACCTTGGGGCATAGGACAAGGTGCACTGTGGACTGAATGGTGATACTGTGTTCTTTGTCCTTGTCTCCTGCAGAGATGGTAGGACCCAGAAGGAGTAAGTGGCAGCCATCTTGGCAACTTGCATCTCTACCCCTCTCAGTCCTGCGGCTGAGCCCTCATCCTTGACCAAAGCCCTCAGCTCACCAGCTTTCTGCACTGCCCCGCTGGGGATCCTCAGAACAGTCCCCTGATGAGGGCCCGGCTTCCCCACCCGGGTTTCCTTGGGAGGAGATGGGGAGCCAGACCACTGTACACAGTCAAACTTCCATTCCCACATCCTGAGAAGCATTTGTGGGCCCGGAGTGTCCGCCTCTGCTCCCGTGGCCTCAGGCCAGCCTGGCAGGATGGCAGAAGTATCAGCAAAGGGATTGGAAGCCCCTGAGGGCCGAGCCCCCTTGTCCCCAACATCATCTGCTCTGCCCACAGCATTCGTACTCTCCGCCTCACAGCCATCGCCAACCCAGCCCAGCTCTAGTTTCCATCGGTTGCCAGACCAAGTGACGGGTGGTAAGTGCTGGGAGGGTCTGACAGATGCCCCGTCTGCCTCGCCCGCTCTCTCCCCGCGACCTGCCTAGTTGCATGCCTTCCCCAGCCAGCTCCATCTGCTGATGCCCAATCTAATGGCGTCCATGCTTGGCTCCCAGTGGACACGGACCCCCACTTCATCATCCACGTGCCCCAGAAAGAGGACACCCTGTGCTTCAACATCAACGAGGAGCCTGGTGTGATCCTCAGCCTGGTACAGGACCCCGACACAGGTAGGGTGGAGGGCAGACCCGCTCCACATTCGGGCATGGACAGACTGTGGCCCCGGCCTGCACTGTCACTGCCCTGTGCAACATCAGTCTGGCTGGGCCCTGCCTACCTCCTTCTTGCCCCCGCGTCCTGGTCGGACCCTACACAGGGCTGGCCTCACGGGTGTGGGCGTATAAGTACACAAAACCTGCACTTAGAAGGGCCGCAAACTTGCTTAATGCTTTGCTCTTGCTGTCTTGGAGTTCTTAGCTCTTCTTGAACAAGGGGCTCCTCCTTTTTTATCTCGTAGTAGACCTTGCAAGTTATGCAGGGGCCCTGGCCTGGCTTCCCCATAGCATGGCTGCGCGGAGCCTCCAAGAGTACCCCACAGCAGTGCGGAGGAGGTGGCGAGCTCCACCTCTTGGCTCTTTCTCCTTCTTTGCTCCCTCCCAGTTCAACCTCAAGTGTTTGCTGAGAACTTGCTAGGGGCTGGGAAAGCGGTGGGAACCAAGGCAGTCCCTGCTGAAAGCAAACAGATGACCCCGTTCATAGACAGTCATTTCAGGGTGTGAGAGATGCTGTGCTGGGTGTCCAGCTAGGGGAGGCCTCTTTAAAGTGTCCCCACAGACGTCTTTCCAGCACAACTGTGAGCCTCCTCCTGTGTGAGGACAGAGACGGGGAGGCAGGGCCTTCGTCAGAGCCCAGGACAGAGGCCGAGGCCTGGGACATCTGCGGTGGTGAGGAGTGGGAAGGAAAAGGAGTTGGTTCTAGGAGCAGGACAAGGTCTGACAGCTCTATGGCATGGAAGGAAGTAGAGCATGAGCAAGGATCACGGGCCCCTCCCTGACCAGGGCCCATCACACCGCCCCGCCCCCGCAGGTTTCTCGGTGAATGGGCAGCTCATTGGCAGCAAGGCCAGGAGCCCTGGGCAGCATGAGGGCACATACTTTGGGCGACTGGGGATCACAGACCCTGCAACAGGCTTTCAACTGGAAGTGACTCCCCAGAACATCACACTGAGCCCTGGCTCGGATGGGCCCGTGTTCTCCTGGAAAGACCAGGCTGTGCTGCGGCAGGATGGGTAACCAGGTTGGGCTGGGTGGGTGGGGGCTCGTGGTGAAGACCCAAAGCTGTCTGTGCTTGCTCTGCTGCCTGAACCTGCAGAGCTCTTATCCCTAGCATCCATAGTGGGGCCTGCAGGCCCCGTGCAGACAGGTCAGAGTCTAGGGACCACTTTCCTTGGTTCCTGGGCACATGCTCTTGGCCTAGATGCCTGAGAGCCCTGAATTCCACCCCCAACACCACCCCCAACGCCAGCTCGTCTTCCCAGATCCAGCACGTACGGCTTCCACGAAGCCCTCCACTCTCTTGCTCTGCTGACCCCCAGAGTTCTTGAGGCTTCTCTTTTAGCACCCATCGCATCTGCCTTGCCTCATGATTGGTCCTTCCCTTGGTCATTCATCTATTTGCCAAACTCTGTCAAGCACCACAGCCTGATTCTGGGCAGCAGAGCTGAGTCTCGTGTGGAAGATATAAGTGACGAGTGGGAATCAGAGGTCACAGACTCTGATAATAGACTGGCTAGAATCCAAGCCTTGGCTCCATTGCTTAGCAGCTGTGTGACAATGGGCAAGAAATTTAGTGTCTCTGACTGACTCTCTGGTCGTAAGAGCTGGGTCTCAGAGGAGGGGCACAACTGCATGGAGCTGCTCCTGTTCTCATGGTCACCCGGCTCTGCAGGACGGTGGTGGCCATCAACAGGAAGAGGAACCTGGTGGTGTCTGTGGATGACAAGGCCACCTTTGAGGTTGTCCTACACCGAGTGTGGAGGGGGAGTGCAGTCCACCAGGCCTTCCTGGGCTTCTATGTGCTGGATAGTCGCTGGATGTCACCCCGGACACACGGGCTGTTAGGTATGGCCGGCCGGGTGCGCTCATGGGTCCTGGGGCACCAAGACAGGCCAGTCTGCAGTGGGGCTGCCAAGGCTCAGAATTCTAAGAAGGCTTGTCCTGGTGAGAATCTTGTCCCTTCAAAGTGCTGTGATCAAACACAAACAAAAACTGGTACGGGCAGAGGTCCAATTAGCAGACAGACAGGTCCAGAGGGCCCCCAGGGACCCTGTGAGTGGGAAGGGTCATCAGCTATAACGCTCCTGGACGGCCTTTCGGACGGTTCTGTTCTCTACTGGACACCAAAACCTCCAACCTCTCTTCCCAGCCAGATCCCTTCAGACTTGGTTAAAAAACAGTACCACCTGGAAATACATGTGTCTCTACAGCAAGTGAATGAAGGTGGCTTTTGATGCCAATTTTTATCAGAAACACTCAAGCCCTTGAAAAAACACATTCAAGAAACTGGCTCAGGGCCGGGGATTTAGCTCAGAGGCGCAAGCACCTGCTGGGCAAGCATGAGGTTGTGAGTTCACTTCCTGGTACCAAAAAAAAACCAAAAAAAAAAAAAAAAAAACTTCCTGGTACCAAAAAAAAAAAAAAAAAATAGAAGCCGGCTCAGCCCCCAGTGAACACCTGCTGAATGCAAGGCAGGAGCAAGCACCCAACAGTAAATTCTGCCATTTACGTGCCTTTCCAGGACAATTTTTACACCCCTTTGATTTTGAAGTATCAGACCTCCGCCCAGGCTCTGATCCCACGAAAACAGATGCCACACTGGTGGTGAAGAACCACCAGCTGACAGTCACCAGGTGGGTGGGCTGCTCTCCAACGTTTCTGTCCACGGTGCTTTCTGTTCCCTCTTGTTGGTTCAGACCTTCCTCCAGGGGTCACGTGGGTGGGGCATGCTTCCTGGGGAGGGGCAGCCTTGCCATGTTTGAGGAGTAACCTCAGCTGACTTGTCTGTCCTCAGAGGCTTGCAAAAAGACTACAGCAAGGACCCGCGACGTGGGGCAGAGGTGTCTTGCTGGTTTGTCCACAACAATGGAGCTGGACTGATCGATGGCATTCACACTGACTACATTGTCCCTGACATCTTCTGAACCCTCCGGCTGGCACACTAGACTTCCCTTAGGACTGTGGCAGAGGAGGAGGGTACCTACCTGACCAAGCTGGTTCCTTATGTGAAAGAACCCTATGACTTCCATTAAAGACAGGCTATGCCCAGAACTGGCTGGTTTTTGGGAAGGAGGATGGCAAGGAAGCAACTCAAGATGCTGCCCCATGGGAGGGCTCAGGGATCACAGCTACCCAAAGTTGGGAGAAGCAGGTCGCAGGCTGGGAGGGCAGCCCGAGCCAACTCCACCCTCACACCCTGCATTGCTGATCGCTGCAGCTACCCAGCCCCAGGCCCTCGGGTCCCCTGCGTGCCCCTTGAACAGCGCTCCCTACTCAGGCCGGGGCCCACTGTTACTCTGGCGGCATGGACATTGACCCAGAGCTTCCTGTAGCCAGGCTCTCACCCAGTATTTTACAAGCATTCTGTAAATATATACTCCCGATAGGTCTAGGGGATGCTTTTATTATACTCATCTACACTGCAATTAGGTAATCTGTCCTAAGTCACTGTTCTCAGTGGCAGAGCCAGGGTTTGAACCCCTGTTGCTGACATCAAGCATCTGTCATATGTGAATATTCCAGTCACCAGATGCCAAAACCTATTGGGATTCAGCTCTGGATAACTGAAAATGAGCATATGAAAGAACTATCTCCAGACTCAGTGTCCTGCAGAAGTCCTCAAGGAGCAGGAGGCTGCACCACTGGGGTCAGGGCCTCCAGTTCAGCCCGATTTTCCTGCCAGGGTGGCCACCTCTGGTGACCAAGCTGGTGCCTTTTCAAAGGCAGAGACAGCCACTGCTAAAGCTGGAATTTCAGGGGCCCAGGAACCACTGCCCATGGTCTTCTCACACTAAAGTCTAGAATTACCCCACTAGGGTGGGTGCCTCCCCCTAGCTTGGCCTTGAGACCCCGTTACAATATGATATCACAGTGTGACACTTTGAGGAGTCGCTGACCCTCGGTGTGGAGGTGTGTGGGCCTCCACCTGCACCGTTCCTGAGGCTCTGCTTCCTTCTCTGGCGACTTCTGGCCAGCTCTCACTACAGATAAGGCCTGTGAGGGCTCAGACAGCACAGGACTGGCTCTGAGCGCCCGTATGGTGACCACAAATGCTGAGCTGAAAATGCTGCCCAGGTCTGGGAACACAGGACTCCTTCGCAGCAGGCTGCGAGGCCAGCGGAGGCTCAGAGGTCAGCTCGCCTTTCAAGGTGTGCTGGGCCGCAAGTTGGCTGCACTGGCCTAGGAAACACCCTGCCCGGCTGGGGTGTCATCTTCACTTTCCGTAAAATGGAATTGGGGTGGACGGAGATCTCCTAGGTCCTATATAATTCTAAATTCTGGACAACGACTCTGGTTCCCTCCAAGACCCTCACTATCTGTCTCTTGGGGGTCTCTCAAGCATCCTCAGAATCCTTATTGTGAGTTGTCCCTCTCATAAAACTCCACGTTTGGGGGAAGAGACAGTGGTGGGTGAAGACGCTGGGGAAAGTTCCGCAGGCAGCGGTGGGGCTCTGAAGAGAAGTCTTTGGCAGTGTGGGCAGGATGACGGTCCCCCTCAACCCCAAGCACCCTGGCGGCAGTGACCACGGGCTCTGAACATGACCACAAGAACGGAAGTCCCCAGATCCAGAGAACTGCAGCTCTGGGGGTCCTCTCCCCACCTCCGGACGTCAGCACCTGCTGGGTTTGGTCTCTGTCTGGCCAGAGCTTGGCACCCACTGCCGGTAGAGAGTGGCACCAGATTCAGGAGGTCTGAAAAGAGCAGGGGCTGCCTCGCTGGGCCTTAGGCATGGGTTACCCCCTCCGAGAGCTGTATCTGTCCCTCTGCCGTCATTTTGCTGACTTCATAACTGTCATTGCTCTGTGGCTACTGCCGCTTCCAACATTAGTCCTTTGTCATCCTCCGCCTCACACCTGCCCTCTGCCTTCTTCTCTTCCCAGCCCCTAGCTCTTCTGCACACCTCACTGTCAGGCCCAGCGCTTCAGCCAAGGCTGTGGGTCCATCTGTAAGTTAGCTGTCCTCGGCCCAGGTGTCCTTGTCTACACCGCCCAGCAGTGGGCCAGGTGGGAGGGTTACTGTGTGAGCTCTGTTCAGAGAAGCCGGGGGCATAGTAGGCACGTGGCCACCTCACCATGTGCTGGGAGTTAGGGGCTGACAGGGCCTAGGTGTATCTTAGGAGACCTCAGTTCTCATTACAAGGATCTCAGTCCTCACTCAGAAGCTCCTGTCCTGGATGCCAGAGCCTCAGCCTCACTGGAGACATTTAGGAGAAGGACTGAGGTCAGCCAAGACCTTGACCAGACCCTGGAGGGCCAGAGGGGAATGTGACAAGGTCCAGCCCTCCAGGAGCATCCAGAGGGGACCATCATACTTGAGCACACAAACTTCAGCGTAATGACAAGACAAGCCGTCAGGAGCTTGGGGTGTGGGGCAGGGCTGCCCTGTAGTCCATCAGAGGAAGAAGGAGGAGGGCTCTTGGAGGAGGGGGCCGGGGATGGCAGAGAGATGAGAGATGCCATGCACAGCAAAGACAGGGCGTGCCAGTGTGGGCACAGTACGCCCAGAAAAGCACGATGCAGCCAGATCCCAGAGAGCGCCCTGCAGGAGTTAACGCTGATCCTTTTCCTGGGGCCCTGGTAGCCAGAGAAGCGTAAGGAGCAAGGGCTCAGCCGTGCAGGGCCCAGCCTGAGGGTGAGGGTTTGTTTCCCTCCCCTGGGTGCCTTGGGAAAGGAGGGACGAGGCTGGCAGCATGTGAGTGGCGAGGACAAAAGGCAACGAGCCCAAGATGACTCCTGCTCTCCATGGAACCCCACATCCCATCTCCACCACCCACGCCATGGAAGCCCACGGCCCACTTGTCCACCAACAGCTTCTATTCTCTAAGGAGCCTCTGTGGCCCCTGCCTGGCAGGAGAGAAGCCCCAACATAGCCAACAGTCCCCACTGGGCCTCTTCAGATACACACACCCACGCCTAGCTTCCCAGAAAGCTTCCCGCCTCTGCTGGGCCAGCCCCATGCTGCGGGTCGCTGACCCTGCTTGGAAAACACTGGGCTCATATAAAGAACACGGGCCAGCCAGGCCTGGGTGCTCAGCAATGGCATCTGTTTGGTGGCCCTGCCTCGTGTTGGCTTTGTTCTCCAGCTTGGCAGCCTCTGGCTTTCCAAGAAGCCCCCTCCGGCTGCTAGGGGTGAGTCTGCCCCGCTTTGCCATCAGAGCACCATGCTAGGCAAGTCCTGAGTGGGGTGAAGGGGGCGCAGAGGACCAGGCATTGCACTACTGGCCAGTGGGGGACCCTGGGAGAACGAGGCCTACTCGAGCCTGCTGTCTCACCCTGAGACAGGCTCTTAAAACTCCGTGGGCCTCAGTTTCCCACCTGACAAACGGGCAATGCACTATGAACGTCTTGACTCACTGAGGTTATGAATGCTGAAGTCTCCGACAGGTGCAGAGGCCGCTACAAAATTCAGAGCTGAGTCCCACGGGCTGTGGTTGGAGGTGGGGTGTTCTGGGAAGGGGCCTATGGGCCTGGGGCCAGGCAAAGCAGAATGAGGGACCGAATGAGTTGGGGCTTGTGGAGCACGAGGAGAGGTCTGAGCCCAGTTTTCCCTCTCCTGCTCTCCGGGTAACCTGGAGACCTGGCCCTTTCTGGCCTTTCCTAGTGTCCCCACCTGTTCAAGAGTCCTTCCACCCCTGACACGCGGCCTGGGAGGAGCTTGTGTCTGGAGGTCCGTTAAGGTTATGTGCGGGGCACTGCTGCACCTGGCCTCAGCGCAGAACCTGCTCCCAGGCCCTAGTGGCCTTACCCTTGGCCTGACCTCTCTGTTTATCTTTGTTTTGCAGAAACGGAGCCTCCCGGAAGGGGTGAGAAATTCGCTGGGGCGGGATCCAGGTGGGGCTTGGCAGGAGGCAGCTGCTTGCTCAACGACCGGAGGTGTGGGCCATAACGGCAGGTCCCGCACAGCTGGCAAACAGCTGCGGGCTGCTACGCTGCTGGCAACCTCGTGTGACGGAGCAGCCTGGGAAAGAGTACTATGAACCATGGCTCTCTAGCCTCATGGGAGGGGCTCAGCCGGACCCCATCAGTCATCCCTTCCTCCCGCAAACGCTTGCCCATACTTGCTGGCACCTGGCCCTGTGAACGGGGCTGGAAGAAAACGGTGAAGTGGCCTCATGACCCTCACAAAGCAACTTTATATCCCTGTCCAAGCAGAGGCCTCCCTAGAGCCTCTCTCAGTCCAGCACTCTCATCGGAAAGAGGGTGTCTGGGGACTCCCCTTGGGACAGGAAGGAAGTGCCTGTGTGGGAACCGGAACCAGGCAATATCAAAGGACACAGGAGGCAGGCTAGGGTGTACAGGGGGAGACGAGAACGTGCCACGAGAGAGAAGGTGCCAGGAAGAGCTGGGGCGGTCCTCAGGGCACAGTTCAGGATGAGCGCAGGAGTCGGGACTCTCCAGAGAAGTCTGGGGCACAGGGAAGGCCACGGCCTCTGTGACGGTGCAGTGGGGAGTGAGGGGGTGACGGGGAGCTGTGGGAAGCGTCAGACCTGGGTTTGTACGAGCTCTCACGGGCTGTGGCTGCGTGCAAACAGATTTCAGAGGTAAGGAGGCTGAGCAAACCTCAGCACCATGGCGGCCAAGTGACGGTGGAGATGCGCACACTGCCCAGGCTTCCAGCAGGGCGACCAAGGGGCCACTTAGCAGCAAGGAGCCTCAGAGCAAGCAAGGAAGTGCTTGCCGGGGAAACGAGCCGGTTGAACACCTGGTTCCTGGGTGCCACAGTCTGACTGGTGACCACCTGCTGACCTCAGCACACCTCTCCCACAGCTGGTTGATGACATCGAGGTCTACAGTACCAAGATCAACTGCAAAGTGACCTCCCGCTTTGCTCACAATGTCATCACCACGAGGGCTGTCAACCGTGCAGACAAGGCCAAGGAAGTGTTTTTTGATGCGGAGCTGCCCAAGACAGGCTTCATCACCAACTTCACCTTGTGGGTACCACTAAGGCCGCTGGCACTGAGCTCAGGACGGAGGTCTGGGCCAGAGTGACCTCCCTCACATCCTCCTCCTCCAAACTCTATTTCGCGGTAGGACCATCGATGGTGTCACCTACCCTGGCAACATCAAGGAGAAAGAAGTGGCCAAGAAGCAGTATGAAAAGGCTGTGTCCCAGGGCAAGACAGCTGGCCTGGTCAAGTAAGTGAGGCCACGAGGCCTTGGGGAGAACGTCCAGGTGGCCAAGGCCTGCAGAGATGCAAAGAGCAGCCATGCCGTTGCTGTTGCTAAATGTGACCATAACGTCTACATTATCCCATTTAGGTTGAAGCAACAGAGGCTCAGAATGGTCAAGCTGGAACTTGACCCTGGGGCTGAGGCAGCGGGGGCTCATGCAGTCTTTGGGGCAGACAGTCTCTCACACCCCATCTAGGGCCTCTGGGAGGAAGCTGGAGAAATTCACAGTCTCGGTCAACGTGGCTGCGGGCAGTAAGGTCACCTTTGAGCTCACTTACGAGGAGCTGCTGAAGAGGCACAAGGGCAAGTACGAGATGTACCTCAAGGTCCAGCCCAAGCAACTGGTCAAAAACTTTGAGGTAACCAACCACGCCTGCTTCCCTGCCGGGACTCCTTGCCGCTTCGGGGAAAGGCCCACAGACCAGAGCCCAGGGCAGGATCAAAGATGCAGAGGTTCTGGCCCTACACTTGGCTAAGGAGCATAGAGGAATTACAGCGCCTCTGGCCACAGCAACTAGGGACCACAGGAGGAGGAGGCTGAGCTGCACCCAGCACACCCAGGTTTGGGGCAACACCACAAGGTGCCCCTGTGATGCTTATAACTGTGCACGTGGCATTTTACCCACACCAAAGCTGAAAGCTAAAGGAAACACTTTAGAGGTAGGACACATACGGCAGAATAGAGCATACTTAGGGCTGGGGGCACCTTTCACAAGCCCGATGGTCACTTTCTTGGTGGGAGACACCAGCCTTTGTTTTCACCAGTGTTCCAGTGGACCCATTTCATTTCATTTGACCTTGTCCCAGAGCCCATCCTTTGTGCTGTCATTGAGTGACATCACCTTACTTTGTTTCAGATCGAGGTGAACATCTTTGAGCCCCAGGGCATCAGCACACTGGACGCTGAGGCTTCGTTCATCACCAATGACCTCCTGGGCAGTGCCCTCACCAAGTCCTTCTCAGGGAAAAAGGTGCTGCAGGAGTGAGGATGCTGGAGGCAGGGGCTGCTGAGGACATCCGAGAAATGGGGCCTCAACTGTACTGGGGCAATGGGGAGAAGGGAACTGTTTAAATTCCAATCACATTCCACCCGGGAAGGGGACAGGGCAAGCATTACTGTCTGTTTTACAGACAAGGAGACTGAGGCCAGATCTGGTGGCTTCACATTACAGGGTGAAAGATTAAAGGGAATCGCATTGCTGGTGTTGGGTAGTTGGCTCTAGTCCCCAAGGCCCCAGCTGTTCCAGAGAACTTACTGACAGTGGGCAGTGGCTGAGCAAATGTTTCTATAAACAACAAGCGTCAGACCTCCAGGGTGAACTGCAAGGAGCACAGCCAGGGAGCCACTAGCCTCTGCAGGGCAGCGTTCCCGAGGGTGGTGCCAGGGAGGGGGCTCCCTCCTCCCTCCCCCCGCTTTCAGCAACAACTCCAATGTGCAAAGCCACGCAGCGCGAAGTTTCCTTGTACTTGAAGTAGCTTTCTGATGCCGAGCTTCAAGGTAGATTGAGCTGGGGGGCGGGGTGAGGATCCAGGCAAAAGGGAGAGAGGTGCTCAGAAAGACAGAGCATGGGGAGGAGCTGTGCCCGCTGGGACCTGGCATCCGGCAGTCCTCTAGCTCCTGCCAGTCTCTGCCCTTTTAAGGGCTCCTCCCCGTGAAGGCTCCTTGGGCGGTCTGGCAGCGGGCAGAACTGGCCAAGACCCTCCACCTCTGTCCCTCAGGGCCATGTGTCCTTCAAGCCCAGCTTGGATCAACAACGCTCGTGCCCAACCTGTACCGACTCCCTCCTCAACGGAGACTTCACCGTCACTTATGACGTGAACAGAGAATCTCCCGCCAACGTGCAGGTACCTGGCAGGGGCCCCGCTGTGCAGGCCCAGCCCCCGTAATGGTGGAGAGAGGCTGTGCCAGGGGGGCTGCAGCTGCATCTGGTGCCATCCCCTCCGTCTTCAGCCCTAGGTTGAGTCTCCACACGAGCCAGCTGATGGCTCAGAGTCTTTGGACAGTACCTCCTGGAGAGCAAGAGAGGGACATCTTTTGCTAGGCAGAAAATGCCTGACTTCTACCTGCAAGAGGAGCCAATGTGGTGCTCCTAAAGGGACACTGACCTCTGACTCTCTCTCTCTCCCCTTTGCAGATAGTCAATGGCTACTTTGTGCACTTCTTTGCACCTCAAGGCCTTCCGGTGGTGCCAAAGAACGTGGTCTTTGTGATTGATGTCAGTGGCTCCATGTCTGGTCGCAAAATACAGCAGGTTTGATCTCATCTCTCTCAGCACAAGGGACATGGCAAGGTGGTGGTGGGGAGGGAGAAACTTTTTTAAAAAGTGGCAGACGCTGGTGTTTGTGGTGAAAGAGGATGAAAGAGGGCTCAAACCTCCGTGTGCTTTCGTGGGAGCCTCAGGGAAGGCTCACTTGGCAAGGGCAGCACAAGCTCGGCCTGCGGCCTGGGCCAGGCAGTGACCTTGCCTGCTCTGCTTCCACACTCAGCTCCTTGTCCGCTTGCCCCCTCTTCCTCAGACAAGGGACGCACTTCTCAAAATCCTGGAGGACGTGAAGGAGGATGACTACCTGAATTTCATCCTGTTCTCCGGGGGTGTGACCACTTGGAAAGATCAACTAGTTCAAGCTACGCCTGAAAATCTCCAGGAGGCCAAGACGTTCGTGAAGAACATTCGTGACCAAGGACGTAAGAGCGCAGGGGACAGCAAGCAGGCCGCGGGCTCCTCTCTCTTCTCTGAGCAGCCCGCTTCCCTCCTGCCTCGGGGCAGAGGCTCTGCTGGTCTCAGCCCTGCTGATCTTCCCTAGCATAGAGCTGGGCTATGGCGGGTCCCGCACAGCTGGCGAACAGCTGTGGGCTGCTACCCTGACAGGCCCCTTAGGCCTGAAGACAGGATTTGGGGTGTCTTCTTTGTGGCATAGAGAAAGCCATTCTTTCTGTTTCCGACTCATGAGCCCAGCGCCCTGCAAATCCCAGCAAGATAAATCCACGGAGAACTCTTCTTGTTGGCGGGAGATGTCACCGTCTATGGAAAGTCATAAATAATGTCTATGCTGCTTCCTTCTTTCAGATAGAGGGGCCTGGAGTCCACCTGATGTTTTCTGAATTGCCTTTATAATCACCTTGTGATAGCCTTTATAATCACCTTTTGATAGCCTTTTTCTCCCCATCTGAAAGAGTAAATTGTTGATTCATTCAGTCGTTATTCACTGAGCACCAGCACATGAGAGATGGGGCGCTTGGCACACGAGCAGGCTCTACTGTCCTGACCTCCTCCACTCCAGTATCCTTGTAACCTGGCATCCCAAGAACACCCTCCCGGGTGCTATCTGTCTGTGTCGGGGCCGGGGATATAGCTCAGTGGCACAAGTGCCTGCCTGGCAAGCACAAGGTCCTGAGTTCGATTCCCAGTACCTAAAAAAAAAATAATGTCTGTGTCACAGTAACCAACATCAACGACGCACTGCTGAGGGCCATCCATATGCTGAACCAGGCCCAGGAGGAGCACCTGGTCCCCGAGAGGAGCACCTCCATCATCATCATGCTGACAGATGGGGACGCCAATACTGGTGAGGGGAGTGGGTGGTTCTGATACAGCGTGAGTGCCTGACAGTTCCCCTGGCTCTGTAGCAGGCTCACTGCAAGACCTTGGGCAGCTCTTTCCAGGGAAAATTCCCCACTGTATGTGAGCTCCTTAAAGGCTGGGCCCTGCCTCTTCTTGCCAGGGTGGCTATGGCTCTAACAGCTCTGCATGTGTAGGAATCAGGCATTGCCAACAAAGCTGGGGCAGATGGACCCCAGGGCCATGGTTGGAGCATGAACACCCCTTCTGCAGGCGAGAGCAGACCCGACAAGATCCGGGAAAATGTGCGGAACGCCATCGAAGGCAAGTTCCCCCTGTATAACCTGGGCTTTGGCAGGAATCTGGACTACAGTTTCCTGGAGAGTATGGCTCTGGAGAATCATGGACTTGCCCGGCGCATTTATGAAGACTCCGACGCTGACTTGCAGTTACAGGTATGCCTTGTCTTGCACACTTCTAGGAAGGATGGCGCCATTACTGACTCAGGTAGCTTTCCCTCTAGCAATTTCAGGCATTAGAAAGAGCTTCCTTTTGAACTGAAACCTACCATCAACAGCATCTGCCTCCTATCCATCAGTAACGGTTCCTACTTTGTCCTCATGCAACAAAGAACAGAGCTGCCTGCTCTGTGGGACTGCCAGATCAAACACAAGATATTCCGTGAAATACAAACCGCTGATACGTATCAGTTTACTAGGGCTGCCATAACAAAATGTATTACCACAGACTAGATGGCTTCACAACAGAAACCATCTCATGACTCTGGAGGCTGCAAGCCCAGGATCAGGATGCCAACGGTCGGTTCCCTTCGAAAGGTGTTGAGGCAGAGACTGGTTTCAGACCTCTCTCCTTGGCTGGTCAATGGTCATCTTCTACAGTCTTCGCCCCCCTCCCCCCACCTTTGTGGTCCCAGGGACTGATGCCAGGGCCTTTGTACTGAGCTACATCCCCAGCAACCCCCTTTTTATGCTTGAGACAGGGTCTCACTAAGTTGCTAATTTGCCTAGGCTGGGCTTGAATTTGCAAATCTCCTGCCTCAGCCTCCCGAGTGCTGGCATTAGAGGTGCACACCACCACACTTGGATTCAATTTCCCTTTTTTATAAAGACACAAGTCTTACTGGATTAGGGCCCAGTGTAATGACCTCATTGGATGATCTCTGTAAAAACTCTACCTCCAAACAAGGTCACATTCTGAGGAGCTGAGAGTTAGGACAACAGCATACAAGGAATGCAGTGCATAACTCAACGCATAACAAGCACACTTCTACTAAAAAAAAAGGTCCTCCCACAACATTCAAGTTTAGCTGAATGTCCCATCTTTATTTGCTGAATCTGACAACCTGTCCAAGGAGGGGACAGCATCTCTACCTCTGCAGGTGGACCCTCCTGTCTTCCTCTCTGTCTGTCACCTTCTCTAGCTTGGCAGCCTCCCTTCCTTTCCTTTTTCCTTTGCTTTCATTCCAACAAGTATTTCTTGAATATTTCTCTGCATGGGAACTCCGTCCCTTCCTTCTGTTCTCCCTGGTCTTTGCAGGGGCGGGGGCAGGGTGGGCACCTGCAGACGGGAAGGAAGACTCAGGGCCGTGGAGAAGTAAAAATGAGGGCAGACTAGCCCAGCCGTGGGGCTGCCGCCAAGCCGCAGCAGCGTGGGGGCCAGGGCACCCCAGCCTCTCCACACCCGCCCTGGGAGCCTGAGGTGACCGGGCCTTTGCTCTGGACCCCAGGGCTTCTATGAGGAGGTGGCTAACCCACTACTGACCAGCGTGCAGTTGGAGTACCCCGACAACGCCATCCAGGGCCTCACCCAGAGCAGTTACCAGCACTTCTACGACGGCTCTGAGATCGTCGTGGCCGGGCGCCTGGTGGACGAGGACACGAACAGCTTTAAGGCGGATGTGAAGGGCCAAGGGGTGAGTGGGGATCAGGTTCTGGGCATGTGGTGGGGATGAAGGTCAGCACTCTTGGCCTCAGTCTCCTGGCTGATGGTCCAGGAGCAGCTGTCCCTGAACCCAGCTCACCCAACTCCAGGCTCCAGGCTCCAGCCCCGACCCCCTTCCCTTTTTCCCCAGGCCCTCAACGATCTGATCTACACAGAGAACGTGGATGTAAAGGACATGGAGAAGGCCCTGAAGGAACAAGACTATATTTTTGGGAACTACATTGAGCGGCTGTGGGCCTACCTCACCATTGAGCAGCTCCTGGAGAAACGGTGACCCTGTGCCACCCCTCATGCAGCCAGGCCCCAACCTGGGCACCCTGCACGGCCCCTGCACCCACCTCAGCCCACCCCGTGCTGGCTGCACTCCGAGGCCAAGGGAAGAGCACCCTCACACCCACGCCCACTCTTCTGTCCTCTTCTCCGCCCAGCCAGGAACTGCCAGGGAGGCTGAACAGAACTAAGGGCTGGCACTCAGGCCCCAGCACTCAGAAGTCAAAGCTGGGCCCGCCCAGAGGGTGCGGTAGTGTCACTTAGGCTCACCAGGCTGTAAGGCCCCTAGCACAGGAACTGGCTTGTGCTGGGCACTTGGCTCAAAGGCACTATCATAGTCATTGGTAGTGGCCACCTCAAGCCCCTGACATTCCAGGGAGGAAGCAGCTCCAGGGAGCTGGTGAACCAGTCTTTTTTGAGCTCCACTGGGGTCCACCTGGGGGAATCCAGCAATGTGGTGGTGGTGGGTGTCCCCGGTTGCCCCTGGCCATGCTGGTCTGGTACTGTGGCCAATGGACGGGAAGGCAGGCAGGAGCCTGTTCTCAGTGCTGATTCTCCCCACAGCAAGAATGCCCAGGGTGAGGAGAAGGAGAACCTCACAGCCCAGGCCCTGGATCTGTCCCTCAAGTATCACTTTGTGACTCCGCTGACTTCCATGGTGGTAACCAAGCCAGAGGACAGTGAGGACCAGGCGTCTATTGCTGACAAGCCTGGAGAAGGTGGGCACAGAGAGAGAAGGGCAGAACCTGGAGACTCTCTTTAGGACCCTGGGCCCAGGGTACCCAGCACAGGATTTGGCCAGCCTGGGAAGACCAGACCTCCCAAAGAGGGGGAGGTCCGTGGCATCAGAAGGAAAACAGGCCAGGGGACAGGGAAGATGGTGTGGCGGAAGTAGTCACCAGAGACAGCGGGGTGTGGGGCAGATAGGCACCCCTGAGCCTCTCAAGGGGCACACATCTCAAGGAAGGGACTTGGGCTGTAGCACTCAAGGGCTCGGTTAGACAAGAAGCACTTCCAACCCACGAGTTTGGCCCAGGGAGCAGGCTACTAGACATCTGAGGATTGTGAGAAAAAGAGGCCCAAACCTACTCAACCAGACCCCAGACTGTACTCCAGGGCTGGGGGTGGGGGGCCCCAAATGTCCACTGTATCTGGGGGCAGGCTGGAGAGGCCTGGCATTCTGAGGCATAGGAGGCAAATAGTTGGGCCAGGCTAGGCCAGAACTCTAGCTTCCATGAGTGCTGGGTTCCAGGGGACACATGTGACAAAGCTTGCTGTAGGCCAGGCAGCAAGGGACTCGGGACTCTTGGGCCACGACCATCTGTTCAGTGGCTCCGGCTAGTAGTATATGGCCTCTAATGCATTTCTCTCCTCCCTCCTTCTCTGCCTACAGATGCAGAAGGTAAGCTCCAGTCAGCAGGGACACTTCGCCTGAGGTGGGTAGGGTTCTCAGCAACCCTGTGTTCAGGCCCAGCTCTATTCCTGCCACCTCTTGATGGAGAGTCACATTCCGCACATCTCTGAGCCTCAGGGCTCCAATCCATTGACTGCAAGTGGCTTTCCCTGCTGAAGAAGGGGCAGTCAGTATGAGTTTTCTGTAACCTGCAAAACTTAGCAACTTACCATGTCCATCTCTTATACTCCACCCTACAGAAACCCTCCAAAAGATCCTTTATGCCTACTTTATAGTGGGGAAACTGAGGCACAGAGAGACTAGGCCTATTTGCGCAATGACTCAGTAGGTAGCTGATCAGAGACTTAGGACTAGGCAGCCCGGACCCAGGGCTCATAATGGAGATTGCTGGGGATCAGAATACTCTCTACTCTTAACATAAAACTGGACCTTCACCCCATACCAGCCTACCACCGCCAGGTAGGGCCTCCTCAGCACCTGCCAGCCTGCCCCACCTATGTCTAAAATAAGGAGCACATTTGGGCTGGACCATTGGTTTTCTCTCAGAGCTCTGTGTTTTACTACCGAGGAGCAACAGGCAGCTGCGGGTCTCACCCTGACCAAATGTCTGCCACGAGCATTACCCAGAAAGAGACTGGTGACTTGGTTTTTTGCATTTTCGCCACATCAAAATGTCGTATCTCTAGCATTAAAATCATACCATATCACCACCACCCAGTAAAGAGGGTTCCCTGGACAAGCCTCCATCCCTAAAGCCTAAACTCTGGGGTCACATCCTTCCTAACACTGGGTACGGGTAACCCCAAGGCACATGACCGGGGAGAGAGAATGCCCACATCCTGTTCACAAGTGCCTTTGACTTTTTAGCCATATCTGCAGTCCCCTCCACGGCCTACCAAGGTGAGTACCTGTTGCTTGCTGTGGCCAGCCCTGCCCTGCCCTGCCTTATTCCCCTCTGTGGTCTTTCCTCAGTCAGCTCTCTAGGTAGGCAGATGGGCCTGGTGTCTGGAGGAGACTAGGAGTGGTGGAGGCTGGGAAAGAAGGAGAACTTTAGGGAGCAGGGAGCGGGAGGGGGCGTAAGCCAGACTTCAGCAAAGGGTCCTGGCCCTCTCGAAGCTGCCTGCTTAACTCAGCCCGATCCCCCTCTGCTCCACAGTCAGCTACCAGCCTCCTCAAAGCCCCTACTACTACGGTGAGTTCCTTGGTCCCCGAGGCATGGCTGGGGGTTCCTGGGAGTGGAGCTCCTCCCTGCCAGGGGCCAAGCGGCAGGGGAGGCCCTCGGACCGTGAGAGGCGCCAGGAGTCAGCCCCTTCTCTGATGTGCCCTCAGTGGATGGGGACCCCCACTTCATCATCCAAGTCCCAGAAAAAGATGACGCCATCTGCTTCAACATTGATGAGGAGCCAGGCACAGTGCTGCGCCTCGTTCGGGACCCGGTCACAGGTGGGGGCTGCAGGCCTGGGTTCTCCCAGAAGGGGGCCTGGAACCCCTGGGTGGGCGCATGAGCCAGACGCTCCTCACTGTGCCCACTCACACACCCACCTTCATATGCAGGACACTCTGAGGGTGGGAGGGGTGGGGGCACCAGGCTGTCTGTAGTGTGTTTTCTCCCCCATACTGGAGATAAAGCCCAGGGCCGTCACATGGAGCTATAGCCTCAACCCTTTTTATTTATTTACATTTTTGAGACAGGGTCTTGCTAAGTTGCCCAGGCCAGGCTCAAACTTGCGATCCTTCTGCCTCAGCCTTGTGCCAGTGCTCTAGCAAAAGATCTAGAGTTACTGGGTAGCCTGGCCCTGGGGGTAAGACCCAGCTACAGCTGGCAACAGTTTTCTCTGGACTGCACTCTCTGGTCCACACAAGGGGAAGATCCACAATGTCCCTGCACAACTCTGAATGTCAAGGACAGACTGGACTCGGCTCCAATGTCCTAGTCTTTCCGTGGGGACCCTGTACTGCTACCCCTCAACAGGTCTGGTTGAATGGGAAGGCACATCCCTAAACGCCAGCCTGTATTCAGAGGGTCTCTGGTGCTCTTCCTGATGCTCCCTCCGGCAGGTCTCACTGTGAATGGGCAGATCATTGGCGACAAGAGAGACAGCCCTGACTCCAATACTAGAAAGACTTACTTTGGGAAACTGGGCATTGCCAGTGCTCAGAGGGATTTCCGCGTTGAGGTGACAACAGAGAAGATCACCCTGTGGAGTGGGGCTGCGTCGACTACTTTGAGCTGGCTGGACACAGTCACGGTCACGCAGGATGAGTAAGGTCCTCCACGTGTGTCTCCAAGGGATACAAAGCGTGAGGCTCTCGAGGGACCTGAACCAATCCCAGAACAGATATCCACAGGGGATCACAAGTGAGACTGGTGGACTCAGAGTTCAGTCTCCAGGTTGGATGACCACAGGGTCCCCAGCTAACTCCTGGGCTCCCCATTAGCGCCAGAATTGGTAGCTGGAGAATTCACAGGACTGACTTTGAGGGACACCTTGGATGAGAGCATTAGGTAAAGCTGGGCAGAGTGGCATGCACCTGTAAGTCCCAGAGGGTAAGCAGGCTGTGGTGGGAGGACTGCTTAAGCCTAGGTGTTCAAGGTCAGTCTGGAATAACATAGTGAGACCCTACCTCAAAATAAAATGAAAAGGAAGAAAGGGAAAAAGAAAAAGAAAAGAAAGCTCCAGGTTCCTATTTAATTTTCTCTGGCTGAAGCTGTAAGCTCCCAAACTCCTGAGCCTGTGTTGTGTCTTCAGACCCTCCAGAGCCTGGTGGACAGGGCAGGAGTGATATTCCCACTGAGGCTCAGAGAGGGGGCACGACCTGCCCAAGTTCACACAGGAAGTCAGTGGGTGGGCCGGGGCCTGGACTCCCAGGATGGCCCTCTCCTGCTTACAAGAGATCCACTTACTGCAGGGCACGGATGCCATGCACAAGGCGTAGTCTTTCCTACCCTCCTCCCGTAGCTCCTTGGGTCTGTGTGCTCTCAGGTGCCATGTACTCAAAGAAGCCTCACCGAGATGCCCTTATACAGATGGTCACAAAGCCACCTCCTCTTTTCTCCTAGGCTGTCTGTGACAATCAATAGGAAGAAGAACGTGATGATCTCCTTTGGACATGGAGTTACCTTTGTGGTTGTCCTGCACCACCTGTGGAAGAAGCATCCAGTTTACCCAGATTTTCTAGGTTTCTATGTGACAGACAGCCACCGGCTGTCAGCACAGACACATGGGCTGCTGGGTAAGAAATGTTCCGACAGCAGGCTACTCAGGACACACAGAAGCATGGGAAAAGCCATCCTTGTCACCCTGTACCCAGTGTGCAACACCCCGTTCAGTTTTGTGTCAACCCTGAAAGGCCAGAAGTCACATTACCTAGGGCAATGGCCATTGGCTCAGAGCATGAATGTTTTTGTTTCCAGGTCAGTTCTTCCACCCCTTTGACTTCGAAGTGTCCGACATCCACCCAGGCGCTGACCCGACAAAGCCAGATGCCACAATGGTGGTGAAGAACCATCAACTGACAGTCACAAGGTGAGGGGACACCTCCGATGCCTAGCTCACCCTGCCCAGCGATAAGACAGGAGAAAGGCACCCTCTCTGTAGTGGCACATTTGCCTGGGCTCTGGTTTCTGTACTGTTGTTTCTCTTTGAAGTCTTGACCCTCTCTAGGCACCTCTTAATCAAGGAGAACCCCGAAGTTGGGACCTTGGAAAGAGTAATCATGCGACCTCCTTCTTCACCAAGGACTTCTAGATTCTTAGAATTTCCAACCCCACATTTCTTTTCCACCTTAAGCCCATGACACCCACCACCAAATCCCCCAGCTCTGTGCATTATAGCAGCTCTCTTTTACCCCAGGGGCTCCCAGAAAAACTATGGAAAGGACACCAGGGCAGGCGTGAAGGTCAACTGTTGGTTTGTCCACAACAATGGAGAGGGGCTGATTGACGGCGTCCACACCGACTATATAGTCTCCAGCCTGTTCTGAGAGAACATGCCAGCTTCTGTTGAGACAGAGGGCCCAGCGTATCTGGAACACGAGCACAGAGCAAGGCCTCTGGGAGGAATGGGGACAATAAAGCCTGATGTGGAAGCAGACAGCTCCAAGCCTCCGCATGAGTTCATGGGCCCCTGCTCCAAGAAACACACAGCTGAACCAAGCAGCTCAAGGAAGGCATGGCTGGTGGAAGCAGCATCTTAGGGCTCTCTGTGACACAGCTAAGAGACAGAGTTGGTTGGGCTGGTCCTACTAGGAGACAGGAATCAAAAGGATGACAAGAGGAGGAAAAATCAAGAATGGGCTCTGGAGCAAGTGGGCTCCGAGAAGTCAGGATTGAGCATATTTCAGGGCCCAGGAATGTCATAGGAAACGTCCGTGGTCGTGGCTCAGGAGCTCCTATTAGGACCTTCAGAAGTAGGAAGTGCTCCAGGGTAGACATAGTCCACAGCTAAGTGGAGATGTCATCCACCCCCATTCTGTCTACCTGCGTTAGTCAGCCTCTGTCACCGTGCAAGATACCTGAGATATCGACTTAAAGAGGGAGACTTATTTGGCTCAAAGTTTCAGAGGTTTCGGTCCGTGGTGCTTAGCTCCATCACTTTGGGCTTGTGAGGTACAAATTCATCATGGTAGGAGTATGTGGTAGAGGTCTATCCACTTTACAGTGCTCTAGAAAGCAGAAGTGCCTGCAAGGGGTCAAGATCCCAACAACCTCCTCAACAGTATGCCACCCAGTGACCTAACTTCCTTCCACTGGGCTCTCCTTTCTAAAGGTCCCGTAGCCTCCCAGTAGCACCACAGGCTAGCAACCAAGACTTTAACACATGGACCTTTGGGGGACATCCCAGACCCAAACTAAAGCACTACCCATCTACCCACCATCCATCCATGTATTCACTCACTCAGTCATTCTACTAGTTATCCCTCCCTACCACTCACCACCCCATCAATCCTACCATCTATCCGTCCTTCCTACCACGTGTCCATCGGTCCACCCACAATCCATCCACTGATTCAGCAGATGAACACAGTACCTGGGTCAGGACATAGCGGCACACAATTTAGTAATCCAGTTTCTGTCTCATGGTTGCTCAAGTTTACCCTCAGCTGGGCCTGGCCTCTCCGCAATCCTCCAGTCACCTCATGGTAATCACTTGATTTCCTCCCAGTGAGTGCTGGGTGGGGTAGCAGGGGGCAGAGAGAGTTCCTGGAGAAGGGCTCTAAGAAACCTCCAGCCTGGACAACCCTCTCTCCCTTGGCCAACAGCGACTGTCCTTCCTGAGTCTCTGTGCCTCTCCCTGGCCTCCCAAAGAACTTTTCACAGAGCAGAACAGATCACCACTCCCTGTCCGACTCCCTGCAGATGGCATCACCCATCCGTTCCTCTTGAGGCCAAGCCAAAAGTCCTTCCCATGGCGGCTCCAGCTTCCCCTCACTTTCTGAGTTCCAGACTCACAGGCTGCTTCTGGCTGTGCAAACAATCCAGCCTGCCCTGGAGCCTTTGCCTCTGAAGCTCTCTCTGCTTGAGGGCCTAAGGGTGTGCTAGGCAGACCGGACTCTGGTTAGAAGCAGTGGGTGAATTGCTAAATGGCAGAGCAGGGGGCACAATAAGGCTAGAGGAGCAGGGAATCAAACTGGGGAAAATCTGAACGTCAGTGTGTGGTGCCGTGGGTAAGGGGCAGAGTTGTGCCATCTCCCATTCCACACCCCACAGCCGGAGCCAGAACTAGCACTTTCCAAGGCCCATGCTGGCCTACGGGTCTAGGAGGGGACTGGAGGAAAGGGAGGGTGACCCTTCAGGTAGATGTGGGACACTGCCGGAGTCTGGTGGCAGTTACTGTTCTAGGACCTGGGGGTGAGTGTGACAGAGGTCTGGGTTGGGTTGGCTAGAAGGGCCTCGGCCCGTGAAAGGATCCTGCAGCAGCCTGACCCTGCTGTCCCATTCAGTCCTGGAGGGCTGTGGAGCCACGTGCTGGAAGCCAGTTAGCACGAGGTCAGTGTTCACATCTAGACAACAGCAGAATGACCCCACCAGATGGAGAGGTAAGAAATCCTCCTCAGGTGCTTGTCCCTGCCCTGCTGCTCCCAGTAGCAGCTGAGCTGAGGGGCCTGGGAGAAAAAGCAGGAAGGCTCCCAGCCAAAATCGTGCTCCCTGTGCAGGCAGGGAGGTCTTCCCTGCAGGCAAGGATGAGGCCCTCTTCCAGACCTGCATCGCCTGGCTCTACCCGTCCCTGCCTACAGCCCAGCTTTCAGGATAGAGCTCGTGCTCGCTGGCAAGGCATACACAGCCCGAGCTGGCCTGGTCTTCCCTCCCCTTTCACCTCATCCCGTGCACCTATACCCTTCGCCTTCCCTGAACTCAGTGCACCGTGCTGGTTCTAGGCCTAGGCATATGCGGCTCTTCTTGGTATCTCTGCCCTGCTTTCATCTGGGCTAACTTCCTGTCATCCTTCAAAACTCAGCCTCAACACTACCACCTCCAGAAAGCTTCCCCGATACCCCCGGACGGGCAGGGTGTCTCCCCAGGCTCTGGCAGCACCTTGTCCCTTGCTGGGTAGCAGCTGTCACAGTGGCATTGTGTCTATCACTGGACCCAGTAGGCACAGGACCTGGCCCAGGTTATGGCCCAGGTAGGTGCTGGAAGGAATGAAGGGCACAGACCTCTCACGGGCTCCCAGCACCTGCCCTGCAGGGGCTGGCAGGGCCACCGTCAAACATGACTCCTCCGCTGCTGCCTAAACTCTGCAGCCCGACCTGGATGGTCATGTTCCGGAGGGGCGAGCTTGGGCTGGGCACTCTTCTCTTATCCCTGTAGGTCTCTTGTTAGCCCCACAGCAAATTCCCCACGGCCCAGGCTGCTCTCTTGTCCACAGACTCTGGGCTGAGCCCTCTGAGCAGGAGCCCCTCCACAAGGAGCTGCAGCCCGAGACCCCACCGGCCAAGGAGATGAGAAGGAACACCAGCAGCACAGTGTTTCTCTCTGTGCGGCAAATCTGCCGCTCCAGACCCCTCCCACTGGCCTGTCCGCTGACTCCAGACTCATTCAGCAAATATGCTCCCTAGTTTAAGAGCTAGAAAATAAATGCTCCTCTGATGACCTTGTCTGCTTTCTCTTAGCCAGCAAGTGAGTTTATTTTCTACTTTACCCTGGCTGCCAGGAAGCTCAGAGGAAAGCTATGAGCCAAACATGGCTACAGTTTCGCCTACCCTGGTGTCTCTGATTACTATCTTCCCTCTTGGCTCTTTCACTCTCATACTCACGGTTTTTTGTTTTCTTTATGCTATTTCTTTGTAAGTCACAGATTATTCCCCCCATTTTTAGAAGTAGGGGGAGCCCAGCCATCATCACTTGATATCCACAGTGGATTGGCTGCAGGAACCCTGTGGGTACCAGTATCTGTCTTATAGGATACAAACCTATAGGACAGATGTTGGTATCCATAGATAGCAACTCTGTGGACACCTGCTCGAGTCCTTTCTATAGAATGGTGCAGTATTCACATACATCCAATGCACATCTGCAGACTTTTTTTTTTAAAGCACTGGGGACAGAACCCAGAGCCTCACATTGAGCTACATTCCAAGCCCTTTTCTTTTTATTTTGAGATAGGGTCATACTAAGTTGCCTATGCTGGCCTCAAACTTGCTATCCTCCTTCTTTTGGGCAGCTGAGATTACAGGCGTTTGCCACCACATCTTTTAAATCATCTCTAGATCACTTATAATACTTAATACAATGTAAGTGGCATGTACTCCTACTGCTTGGGAGGCTGAGGCAGGAGGATCGTAAGTTTGAGACCAGCCTGGGCTACACAGAGGAGACTGTCCCAAAAAAAAAAAAAAAAAAAAAACTACACATGTTCAGATCCAATTTCTTTGACAAATTTCCTCCTGTGATTGATTGAATCTACAAATGTGAACCTATAGATACAAAGCACCAAGTACAATAATAAAAAAAAATTTTTTTTGGTGGTACTGGCGATCAAACCCAGGGTTGCTCTATCACTGAGCTATGCCCTTCGTCCTTTGTGATTTTTTGAGACAGGCTCAGGCTGGGCTCAAACTTTCAATCCTCTTGCCTAAGCCTCCCAAAGTGCTGGGATTACAGATGTGTACCACCAGGCCTGGTAATACATTTTCAAAGCAGGCTTTGCCTGTAGAAATTGGGTAGAATCTTTGAGGTGGTTAACCAATGGGCATGAACAGGAGAGGGGATCCTCAACAGTACAGATTTACAGCTGAGGACCCAGAGCACCCCATCTGATGAGAGGTTCTGGGAATAGGACTGGCTCCCTTGTCACTGTCCCTTGTCTTGAGTGCCAGCTTCTTCACCAGGCAGTGGGTGGACAGGCCCGTTCCTGGGCCCAAGTACGAAAATCAAGTTGTGTCAGGCAAATCCCATTGCAAAGCACTGCAAAAGTCTGCGAGTTGGCCTATAAAGAACAAACCAGCCCACTTTCTCTTCTTTTGACTCAAAGCTACTTTTCAGAGACCAGGAGTCCATGAAGCAGCCAGGACCTCTGCTCCAGAGAACATTCACCAGCCCGGGCCCCCTGCTCGCAGTGGATGAACTTTTCCCTTGGGTGGCTTAGTTTTACTTTCCCAGTTTGCAAAGCAGAGAGGACCGAGAGCACTCACAGTGGAAGAGTATAAGGCCCCAGGAGGCTGAGTGTCCAAGACGGGTTCTGAGGCCTTGGGATTTGATACGTGAAACCAGAGACACCTACTTCCTAGGCTCGCACCATTTTCCTTTATTTGTAACAAGTGGGAACCCCCCTTCCCATTGGGATCCAGGCCCCACGGTGACCCTGCAGCCACAGCGAGGCAGCCACCTGCACCCAACAGGGCAGCAGGGGGAGGCACGGGCTCCTCTTATCTGAGCTACAGCTCCACCGACCAGCAGGAAATCTCTGCTCCTTCTTGGTAATCCAACTTGAGCTCTCTGGGATAGACAGATGACAGACAGACAGGTGGTCAGCAAATCTCAGGTGTGGTGGAAAGAGGGGGACAGCAGGGAACAGGACTATGGAAAGTGGGGAGCCCCCAGTCCCTTTAGCACAGGTCAAGAACGCTTGATTAGCCAAAGGGGTACCAAGGAGAGCTGGCTCGTGACACTGGGGCTCTATTTTCTGTGGGGCTGCGCCGGCCACGCTTTGTGGGTTCGCTGAGAGCTGGCTCAGACATGTGTCTGGTACCAACCTTTCTTTCACCCGCTTCTATTTGCTGAGCAAGGACAGGAGAGGGGTTCTGGAGGGCCTGGCCCCCAACCTCCCTGTGCCCGTCGTGCCCTGGCCACGCTCAGGGGCTGCAGGGGCTGAGGCACCTGGTGGCAGCGTAGTCCTTCCCCTGAACCCTCAGCACGCGTCTGGTGTCATCCGCAGCTGCTGGTGGCTCCCCGACCATGTCCTGGAAAAACTGGCCTGCAAAGGGTGGATCAGTGAAGGGTAAAGACAGCATGCTTGGGAGACACGCCGAGGGGAGGGCACTGCCTGTTCCTCAGCAGAGGTGGCCCCGAGGATGCCCGGCCGTGGGCAGAGTACCGAGGGTCCCTTTGATGTGGCTGGAGAAGCGGTCAGTGTCGCGCAAAGTGAGCAGAAGCCCCATCTTAGGGCTGCTCTGGGACGACAGGCCGATGGTCACTTTGTTTGGGTCACTGAGCAGCAGGAGCCCCGTCTTGTCCATGGTCACCTTCAGGCTGTGGAAAAACCCAGCGGCCTGAGCAGAAGGCAGAGACACCGGGATGGCGGCATAGGGATGGGGGGGCGCGTCCCTAGGTCTTTCCGTTTCCTTGCTGGTAAAAGAGGGCCGACACTGGCTTCATGATATCCAACTTCCCTGCCATTCTTTATAGCATAAAATCGTGGTTTCTTTTCCTTTGCTTTTCTTAAATTTGATTTTCTTATGAGTTAGTGTTATGCGATTTAGGGCATTTCTCTGATACACCTACTCTGTCCCCATCTTTTAATAGCTGGCGCCACTTTCTTTTTTTTTTTTTGTACTGGGAATCAAACTCAGGACCTTGTGCTTGCCATGCAGGCGCTTATGCCACTGAGCTATATCCCCGGCCCCTGCCATTTTCTTTTGATTAGGGTTTAACTATGCATTTGAGTGAGCTGTCTTCTCATTCTACCCCTCCTTTTTTACTTACCTCTTTTGAAATTCCTACCCTTTTGGAATGTTAGGCTTCTTTAAACATGTGGACTAAGACTCTGCTGCTATTCTGAGATTATAAATGAAATTTTGAGATTTTAAGTGAAATGGTGTAGTCTATGGTCTAGCTTGCTACCTTGCTTTCCCTCCCTTCCCTCACTCCCCTCCCTCCCTCCCTCCTTCTCTCCCCTCCCCTCCCCTCTCTCCCTTCTTCCCTTCCTCCCTCTCTTCCTTTTTCTGCAGTGCTGGAGATTGAATCCAGGGCCTTCACACTGAGCTACATCCCCAGTTCTTTCAAACTTTTTTAAAATTTTGAGACAAGGTCTTACTAAATCACTAAGTTCCCTACACTGCTGTTGAATGTGTGAACCTCCTGCCCCAGCCTCCAGACCAATTGGTCTATGTTTTCCTCTTTTCTTTTCCTTCTCTTCTGTTCTTTTCCTTCTTTTTTTAAGTACTGGGGATTGAACCTAGGACCTTTGCATTGAGCTACATCTCTCGTCCTTTTTACTTTTTTTTCCCTCTTCATTTTCAGACAGGGTCTCACCAAGTTGCTAAGCTGCCCAGGCTGGACTCGAACTCCAGCCTTCCAAAATGTAGGAATTAGAGGCATATACCACATCCCACTTTGTCTGTCTATCTTTATGTGTATCTTCTACAGCTCATGAAAGTATTTGGATTTTCCATTATTACAATCAATAGAAATTTTTCATTTTCTGGCATGTATTTCATTTCATTTCTTTACTTTTCTTTTCTTTTCTTCTCTTCTCTTTTTTTCTCTTCTCTTCTCTTTTCTTTTTTGTTTTTTTGAAACAGGGTCTCACTGTATAGTTCAGGCTCTCCCTGAACTCACTATGTGGCCCAGACTGGCCTCAAACTTGTAGCAATCCTCCTGCCTCAGCCTCCCAGTGCTGGGATTACAGGCATGTACCACCATGCCCAGCCTGGCATGTATTTCTAAGGCACAGAAATGTTCTGGGCGTGGTGGTGCACGCCTGTAATCCCAGCACTTGAGAGGCTGAGGCAGGAGTCTCATTGAGAGTTCAAGACCAGCGTGGGCTACAAGGTGAGCTCAGGGCCAGCCTGAACTGCATAGCGAGACCCTGTCTCAAAAAGACAAAAAAAAAAAAAAAAAAAAGCTATTTTTGTCTATCAGACAACGAGAAATTCTAAGGTCTTTTATGAAATTGGGGAGGTTTTCAGACCAACCCCTGGGACTTGCTGGGTGTGTTCACTTGTCAAGTGAGGAAGAGGCCCAGCTAAGTGGTTTATGAGGTGGCAATGGACAAAGCTCTCTGTCCTGGGAAAAGATGAGCTACGACACAGCCAGAGGGCTTGGCCCTCTTAACTTGGCCGCTCATAACTTCCACAGCTAGAGGACTGCCCCTGCAAAGTCTATGGTTGAGCAGCCATGTCTCTTGGAAGTCACCTTCTACCTCCATTACCCACCAGCTGCCAAGTCTGACCCCCGCTGGACTTGACGCTCACCAGCGCCTCAAGGGTATGCTGCGGGTAACACTCCCATCCCCTGGGGCCGCAGCGCTCCAGTTCTCGTGATAGCCGTGGAGCCTCACCAGGCAGGTGGTGCCCTGTATGTTGTGTCCGGGGGACAACGCACCATCTGATGGCAAATTCTCCCTGAGAGCCTCCTCCCACTGGGTCCTCTGACCCCTCTGACTCAGCTACAATGATTATCTCTAGGTATTAATGGGGCAACGGAGGCTCAGAGGAGCGAAACGGCCAGCACAGGCTCACACAAGATTAGCTGCAGAACTAGCTTCAAACCACGCTGTTGCACGTGTGGGCCAGTGACGTGGGTGAGCTGTCAGAAGAACCAGGTCCCCAGGACAAACTCCCTGGAATTTCCAGAGTCACAGGGCTTTTGGCACAGGGCTCCCTGCATCTCTGCTCATGCCCAGGTCTGTGTTCTCGGCCACTGGTCAGTGCCATCACCAGCCGGTGTGGCCGAGGGGTCATCTGCTTGGTACCCCAGCATGGGACATACCCAGGCAACACCGAGAACAGTGTCTCCTTCCACTTGTACGCAGAGCTTCTTCGGTTCCGGGTCATCACCACACGTTCAGGGGTTGCATGAACCTGCAGCTTGGGGTTCTTAAAGGTCACCTTGATCCAAGAGAACCCAGCCCTCTCTGCGTTGTACTGGCCAGTCACCTCAAGCCCTGGGAAAGCCAAACCAGAGCGGTCAGAGCCAGGCAAGAGCACTGCCCTGAGCAGGGAGTTCTCTTCCCAGCAGCGTTCTTCACCAGTTAGTGTCCCTGGAGGGCCACCCACTTCCTCAGCAACCCCTCACTGCGACCTGGTTCCCGTGATCTCCCCACTCCCTCCTCGGCTGCACGTGGTTTTGGAGGGACCCTTGGTTCCGCGGTGAAGGCCACTGTCAGTGAGACTTCTGAGGGGAAATCTTGTCTCAAGTCTATACCCTTCATCAAGCCCCTGTAACATGCGTGGCCCTGAGTTAGCTGCCTGCCAAGGGCGAGTCGGGAAATCCCTGAGGGCAGGGAGCACGCAGCCACCTGGGCCTGAGCATGTGGCAGGAGACCATGTGATCCTGGGAGGAGCGAGGGACCCGCGGATGTCCCTTAGCTCTTGTAGCTGTATTTGTGCACCCTGAGCGCTGTGTGTCCCCGTCTCCCTCACCACCTCATGTTGACCAGTGTGGCCCTTCCAGGGTATGGGGTGGGGTCAGGCCAGCACACCTCGCCCCTCATGCCACTGGGCCCCATGGAGAGATGGGGCTCTGTGCTCTGCGGGTTCTGCTTCCTGCATCTGGAAGAGCCTTAACCTTTCTCTGCTTGTCTGCCAGGGCCCGGCCACTCTTGGGTGACCAGCATAGCAACTCGATCCTCAGGTAGCTCTGGCCCCTCAGCACTGACCACAGTGAACCCAGATCTGCACAGGATGTCCAGTGCAGGCCTAGGGTGGCAGTGGGAGGGCACCCATGCCGGGGAGCAGGGCATCTGTACATGCTGTGTCTCTGTGGGCAAATAGGGCGTGGGTGTGAGTGGCACTGGGCTCTCTTGGGGTGGATGGCTGGCTGTGTAACCTCTCACCTTGGCCAGGGTCCAAAAGTAGGTCCAAGGGACCCTGAGAGTGTCTGATGTCCACACACAGTCGGTCCGTGCGGGGCCCAGGCAGCAGCAGGATGACAGCAGGAGGCTGGACAGAAGAAGCTGGGACAGCCACACACGGTTCCTGGAGCAGATGGAGAAATCTGGGGGGCAGGGGTGGGGAGGGGTGCTGGGAAGGCTGGCAACTTACCTGGAGGTAGCGCTGTTGTAGCTGTTTCTAAAAGAAAGAAGAAAAGGTCTGTGTTCAGCCAGCCCCTTGCTGGGGGGCAGGAGCATCAAGGGATGAAGCAGTGGACAGGTGCAGCTGGGGCTCCCTCTCCACCTCAACACGGAGAAGCCCGTGTGACAGATTCACAGACACCCTGCGGCCCCGGTGAGGACAAGAAACCTCTGGGGGCTCTGGTCTGGGGTGTACCTTTGTTTTCCATTTTGAGATGAGACCACACTCCTTGATGTGGATCTGAGGGAACCAATGGCCTTGAAGGGGACGCGAGTGCAGGAACTTTCAGAAACAGAAAGGGAGATGGCATCAGGACCCAGAGCAATCAGCACATCCTCTGGGCATCCCTGCCACTGTGCCCACCAAGCTCTGGTACACTTCTGCCCTGGCAGAAGGGCCGGTAGGGGTGATGGTTAGGACATGGGTCCCATCCGCTCTGTAGCCGCATCTGGGTCCAGACTGTAGGTAGGCACAGAAACAGTGCAAGGGCACTGCCGGCATTGGGCATGGAGGGGTCCTTCCCCGCTGGAAGACTCCGGCATGAGGGGTGAATCTGACCCAGGGAAAATAGTCCTGTCTTGGGGAGGGGACGCCTGATGTCCCTGAGCTGGTGGGAGGACAAGGTGCCTCAGGAGAGGCAGTGATTGGCAGTGACGTCTGAAGAGCCCAACCGGAGCCATCCTGGTCAGCCCCTGCCCTCCTGGAACCCAGGGTTTCCCTTGACCAAGCAGTGTGAGAGAGGCTGCTGTCTAGGCTCATGGTCTGACAGCCTCGGGAAGGCAGAAAGAGCCGTCACACACACCCGAGAAGATAAAATGATGAGGACAGGGTGAAGGGGTGGCTGGTCGAGAGGTGCACAGCAAGGGCAGTCCCTCAGAAAAGGCTGTCTTCCCTCCTCAACCCTCCGCCCCTTCCAGAGAGGATCCCGGATGGACCGGCCCATGCTCACTCATGTCCCATGAGCTCTTGCTGCTTGGCTGGGCTCGGTGCTCTCTCCCCCCCATCTACAGAGCAGGGTCAATAGCCATTGTAGGGAAACTGAGGCCCTCCAAGGGTCAGAAAGTGGCTTACAGCGGTGCATGTCTGTCAGTGGGAAGGAAGGAGGAGGAGGAAGTGCAGATATTCTGTATAGAAAATCAGGTGGTCCAGGTTGTCCATATCTCTCAGGGGCACCAAGAGCTCCAGCTCCAAAAGGGAAGTAAGAAATTCCTAGTTTGCAAAAATGAACACCTGTGGTTTTTTCTCAGGCAGTGTCAGGGTTCCCAGAACCAGGGTGCAGGGACCCCATGCCAGGAGGGGGCTGGCTGTGGCCTCCCTCTCCCCAGCGCTTAGCCATTCTGTGTAGCCCCACCCCCATCTCAGCCTGGGAGACAATAAGCTGAAGAGCACATCTCCCCAGGTAGTACCCTTCAAACTACCTAGCCCAAAGAATCCTCTTCTTTGGGCAAGGAAGGTTCTGTAGAGCTGCTTCCTAATCAGACACGGCTGAGACTGAATCCCAGGCCTGTCACCAGCCAGGCAAGCTGGGTACAGCACTCCCCATCCTCAGCCAGAGTCAGAGTCTACGGCTGGGGTTAGGATTCTGTCATCTCCCCACCCTCCACTCCCTCGTCGTTTGCTACCTGGTTTTTTAGACCGTCCTCTTCCCGTGGTACGAAATCTGGGACCATGACCTGAAAGTCATTGAGATTTGGGTTTACTCTGAGGAACCATCTTTCTTGGGCCCCAGGTGGATGGAGACTGTATCCCTAGTGCCCGGAACAGGGCCTGCGGGGCAGCCAGTATTTAAATGAACAAGCGACTAAATGCACGAGTATGCTTGGTCAGACGACACCACCTGCCCCCGGGGTGGGGCCAACCTTTGAGCATATTAGGGCCTTACCTCCTAAGTGGATATTCCTGTGTCTATTATCTGCATAAAACACACAAACACAGACACAGACACAGGGAGAGAAGAGGAGCATTGTCAGGGCAGTTTTGGTCAAGTTGAAGTGCTTATATTTGAACTTGTGTCCCAACTCCGGAAATAGAGACAGTGAATCACAGGGAACCAGGAGGCCTCGCCTCAACTTCCTCATCAGAGTCCTCCCAGGCTCCTGGGAGTCTGTGGACGGCAGGATGGGGTAGTAGCTGGATGCAGGGGAGGCAGGGAGGCTGAGTGGAGGGTCTGCGGCCTCCGAGGTGGAGGTCCCAGCTTCACACTCACCGTCCTCCACAGGCTTGTTAGCAACTTGAGACTGTTCCTGGCCTTCAGGTTTGGTGACCACCATCGAGGTGAGGGGAGTGACAAAGTTGTACTGGAGTGACAAATTCAGAGCTCGCGTCTTGAGGTCCTTAGACTTGGCATCTGACGCTGAAACACTGTTGAGGTTGAGGAGGTCAGAGCTCAGGAGGTCCTTGGATACCTGGACCACTTTTCGTCCCCACTGGGCCCCTCCTGGGAAATCCCCATGGGAGAATGTGGAGCTCAGACATGATATGCCTCTCTGCAGCTGGGAGCTGCCCCAGGTCGGCTGCGCCTGCCCCAGGGAAAATGGTGAGGAGTGCTGACCATGTGTGCAGCCTGCCCCAGTGGTCTGCAAGGTCAGGGCCACTCACGCATTCTCCAGCAGCTGCTGGATGGTCAAGTGTGCCCAGAGCCTCTCCATGAAGTTGTGGAAGATGTACTTGAGACTCTGGAACAACTCCCCCTGCTCAGCTGTACTGGCCTCCACCTGGAAGGTGATGTTCTGCGTGTCCTGGAGAGAGGGGGCCCAGGCAGGGCAGGGGCAGTGAGGGCATGTCTGCAGCTGCCCTGAACTCACAGCTCTTCTGTGAGAAGCCGGATGGGGGTCGGCACAGATCCAGGGTATTGACCCTGGGGGCGGCATCTCCTCTGGGTAGATGGGTGTAGGGAAGGAATTTAGAAGTGCAAGGGGCTCACTTGCAGAGCCCCCAAGGGTGACAAGAAAGGGAGATAAAAAGTAGCCAAGTGTCCCAGATGCAGGTAGACCCTGCAAAGGAGCCGACCCTTTGGCGGAAAGGGAAATGAAGCCTGGAACCAAGTGGAGGGCCAGTGTAGAAGCAGCAGCAAGAAGGCTTTGTAAATACAGTACCGTGTGAAGCAGAACAGGTCCCCAGATACAGCCCTCACTTACTCCGAAGAGGAGGAAAAGCGATAGGGAAAGAGAAGTCTTAGTGGCAGAGTTGAGAATAGAACTCACTCGTCATGGGGCTTCACTCACCCCAACAAGCTGTCCCCTGCCCAAACTGACCCTCTGCTGGGGCTGGCCACTGGGGGATGATGACAGGGCAGCACACGGCCAAGCTCTGTAGAGATTGACTACTTTCTTCCCAAGGGAGGGGCTTGTCATCCCGGGGCCTTGACTGTTCAGAAACAGGGTCTGAGGGCTGCGGGACCCCAGGCTTCTCGCAGCACAGCTCCTCACAGGCCCTTACTAAGAGACCCTTATTATTCAGATCCTCTCCTGCCCACCCAGCAGCATCTTCTGCCTCTTGGCCAGGTCTGGCTGCCCAGTGCTTTGGCAACTGCAGGCCATCTGCATGGACTTTGCCCTATCTGCACAAACAGGGATTTATTTGATGCCCCACTCTTTTTTAGTATTGGAGTTTGAATCCAGGGCTTCTACAACAAACTACATCTCTGGTCATTTCTTTAGTGTGAGAAAGGGTCTCACTAAGCCCCCTAGTTGCCTAGACTGGGCTCAAACTTGTGATCCTCCTACTTCTGCCTGAAGTTTTTCTTAGATGAACTTTAAATAGACTAACACTTTTTACTTGGCCTTATCTCAAGCAATAATATCAATGAAATCTGAAGTCTGAGGTGTGAGTCATATTTTTCAGAATACACATAAAAATAAATATGTAACTACTAAATAAAGACACCTCTATCTGTGAACTACCTTGAGCCACTCTGGGTTCTGCATGTTTTTTTGTTTTGTTGTTCTGAGACAGGGTCTTGCTATTTAGCTCAGACTGGCCTTGAAATCACTATGTATCCCAGGAGGGCCTTGAATTCATGGTGATTCTTCTGTCTCAGCCTCCCAAGTGCTGGGATCGCAGGCTTGTGCTACCACATCTGGCTTGGGTTCTGCACTTTGGGGACCCCCTGCCTGCCTCTCATGGCATAGGCAGAGAAGGGTGGACAAGGAGACATGGTGAGTTGGGCCCAGCTGCAATGCTGCTTACTTAGGGCAAGTTGTCTAGCCTGCCTGGTGAGCTCAGTTGTTCATCTGTGAAATGGGAGGGCAACTGTAACTTCAGAGGGCCGGGAGAAGACAGGAAGGGGTAACAACAAGGAAGGAGCCCCTGGTCACTTCATGCTCACAGCAGTGGTGAGGAGGCAGCAGCGCTGACTGCATGCTGGGTGCTATCATGTGCCAGGCACATCACAGGTGCTACAGTGAGACTCACTGTGATGTCTCACCGAAGCTCCATCACGAACCCATACACGGAGCTGATGTCATCCGCAAGTGGGGCGGTAGAGAGACGCTTGAGGCCCAGGGCACTTTGAGACTTGCTCAAGGCTGATCAGCTAGAGCTTGGTAAGGCCAAGTCCCTCTGGCTGCAGAGATGGAAACACCCCCCCACCCCCCCGCACTCTTTCCCTCCCAGCCAACTTGGTCACACTCACCATCTGCCCACTGACTCTGGCTGAGAGCACATCAAGGTTCTGCTTGTGGAGCTTCCCGGCTACCACCATCTCTGAGCCCTTGAAGAGGAGTCGGAAGCTGTCCTGTGTAACCTCGTGCACAGTGCTGCTTGGGTACCTGAAGGCTACGTTTGTCAGCAGCGGATTGGCCACCTCCTGGTAGAAGTCCTGCAGGGAGTGTGTGTGTAGGGGTGTCACAAAGGCCAGGCTGGGTCCTGCCCTCTGCAGCTTAGCTGGGGGACACTGGCACCTGGAGCTGCAGGGCAGAGTCCGAGTCCTCATAGATGCGTCGCGCTAGCCCGCCGTTGTCCAGGGCCAGCTTCTCCAGGAAGGCGTAGCTGACGTCGAAGCCAAAGCCGAGGCAGAAGAGGCTATACTGCTTGCCTATGGCTCCCTTCACGTTCTTCTGGATCTCTGTGGGATTGGTCTCCCCTGGACCAGTGGGTTTGGGAAGAGATTGTGAAAACAGCTCAGTGGATGGTTCTGGAACCTCAGAGCAAGAAGCGTCTAAGTGATACCCCGTCTGCCCAGGTCCCCCAGCAAGCTTGGGTGCAGCTGCTTCCCCTGTGCAGCATGAGCTGGAGTGGCTGGGCAGTGCCCTCACCCACGGTGGGTTCGCCGTCGGTGAGCAGGATGATGAGGGAGACGCTCCCAGCGGACAGCAGCTCAGCCCGGTTGCTGCTCTCCAGCAGCTGCACAGCCATTAGGATCGCATCGTTGATGTTGGTTCCTGAAGGGCACACACTCAGAGTGGCTCCCAGCCTGCCTCCCCTCAGCCCTCAGCCTACTGGGCTGCTGGGCCGCTCACCTCCGTTGGCCTGGATGGTGGCAGCATAGCCCTTGGCCATGCCCACATTCTCCTCTGAGGCTGGCACCAATGACGGCTTCCACTGGGTTGCTTCCCCACTGAAGACAATGATGTTGAACTGGTCTTTGGGGCTGAGGTCACTTAGGATCTTGATGAGGGCTTCCCGGGTCTGGTCAAGGAGGAAACAAGAGGAGACGAGGTGGGTGGCTCTGAAGGCTCATGGTCCTTAGGCTGGCAACCTGGGCTGGTGTCTAGGGTGGGGAAATGGAACATGCTCTGTGGGCAGAGGCTGCCCCGTGCTTAGGCCGACCTTGGCCCCTGGAAGCCCCCTACCCAGGAAAATGGAGCAGGTAGGGTCTGCTTGCTGGACCAGAGCTGATGGTGGAGAAGACTGGGAGTTTTCAGGGCCATGCTCTCTAGCCCAGGAACCTACCTGCTGGATTTTCTTGCCGCTCATTGAACCACTCTTGTCGATGACAAAGACCACATTCTTGGGTATTGTGGGCAGGCCTTCTGGGGCGAAGTGGTGCACAAAGTAGCCATTCTCAATCTGTGGCCAGAGAGAGACCATACCATGGGATCAGAGCTGCAGACCTGCCCTAACCTTGGCCAGCCTCCTTATGGCAAATCCTTGGGTTTTTATGTTCTCCTATTCTCCCCTGCAACCACTTCTCTGTCCCACCTCTCCGCTGCCCAAATCCATGCCATCTTTCAAGGCTCAGCCCCTCTCTTATAGGTAGAGGGGCTTGCTTTTGGCTGTAGCCCACCCACCTGAATGGAGCCCCCAGATTCGGTCCGGTTCACATCATAGCGGACAATGAAGTTGCCATCTAGGACTGTGTCTTGCTGACCTGGAGACTTTTGCTGCTGGGAGAACGTTGGCTTGAACTGGATGTGAGCCTGGAAGAACAAACCAGGCTGAGGCTGGGAAGAGCAACAAGGTCATGCTAACATCTTCCACCTCCGTATGCGTATTGGGAAGTCAGAATCCCAGGATGCATCTTCCGGTCAGTATTCCAGGGACTCTCTCTCAGGATGAACTGCGTTGGACTGCTTCCATGTAGGGAGTAGGTGTGAGAGGGCGTCCCATCTCCAGAGCCATGTGTCAGAGGCTGGGCCCTGGGCATGTGTGATCCTATTTGCTCACTCCACCTGCTCCCAGGACCCTTTCTCCATGTCCCTCCCCCACAGGTCACAAGGTTCCTGCAAGGGAATAGAACACTGTCCTTCTCTAGGCCTTGCCCTCCCTGTTTGCCCAGACGCAGAGATCTCGGAAGCAACTCCAGCTCAGAGTGTCCGCCCAACTGTCCTGCACTCTGGGATCCAGCTCACAGGAACTGGACTGAACACAGGTTCCTGGAACCTTCACCTGCTGGCCACGGCAGGCCCACCTTGGTCTTGTTCTGCGAGACGGTAAGGGCATTGGCTAGCTCATTGGTCATGAAGGCACTCTCTGTCTCCAGGAAGTTGATGCCCTGAGGCTCAAAGATGTGAATGTCCATCTGGAAGGAAAGATACGGTCATCAGGCCAGTTGGGAGCCTGGCTGGGCCTCCAGAGGAGATGGAGAGGGTAGGGCATCCAGGAGGCCTCCTGAGAAGAGGCAGTGCCAGGTACCTGCAGATGCTTGACCAGCTGCTGGGGCCGCACTTTGAGCAGCAGCTCATACACCCCCAGATGCCGCCTGAGTAGCTCCTCATACACCAGCTCGAAAGTGACCTTGGTAGCAGGAGCCACACTGACTGACACGTGAAACTCCTCCATCTTTCTCCCAGTGGCCCTGGGGGAGGAACGTATCAGGCCTGCCCAGCTAGGGGCCAATGGAGGGGCATTTTCCACCCCTCCCTCCTGAGGAACCTCCAATGGCTCACTTAATGAGGCCGGCACTCTCCCCTCTGCTCACAGCCGCACTGTACTGCTCCTGGGCCTTAGCCTTCTCCTTGACAGTCCCTGGATAGGTCACACCGTCGATGATCCTGGGGGCACAGAGGTGGGAGCTTCTGAGAGGCTGGTGGGAGAGGTCTGTCCAGGAATGGGTGCGCCTCTTGACACAGTGACTCCTATTTTTGCCTGTATCACTGCCATTTATTGTGTACTTACTGTGCACAAGATCCCAGGTCTGGGTGAGGCTTGTACCCATCCCGCAGTGGGTGCGGTGTTAGTACATGTGCAAGCCACTGAACGGACAGGGAAAGAGAGGCTGTGGGGCAACAGGGCTGGGCTAGATCCAGCCTCCTTTCAGCCTTCCAGTTACATTCTAACTTGCTCTTCCAGCCTCACAGACCGTTCCTGGAGGAATCACCACCGGCAAGAACTTTTCTCAGTTGGCACTGCGTGGCCAAGCTCGTGCAGGAAGGAGACACGAGGCTGAAGCCTCTGACCTCTTCCGTGCGGCTGCCTCCATCTCCTTGCTCATGGACTCTGCAGGGAGCTTAGCCTCTTCCAGAGAAGAAGGTTTAGCCAACTGGTGGATGGGACTCCTGGGGGTGTGAACCCACTCCTAGCCAGCCATCCTTTGGGGTTGGGAAATCAGGTCTTGGGCAATATCTCTGGAAGGAAAAGGGCTGCTCCTTGTGAGGTGAGAAGGGGCACATCAGGTAAGCATTCACTCACAGGCTCCATGGGGGTGGCTGAAAGGTGGGAATGTGGAGGGGGAGGGAGGGAGAGCCATTGCTCCCAGCTGCCATCCCACCTCCCTGGTAATACTCTAACCCTGGGCCAGGATGGTGCTAGGAGTGGGCAGCCCAGCTCCTCCTCCTGGGGGGACAGTTCTCAGTATCTTCAGATGTGCTGCCGGGGTGCATGGCTGGGTTAGGGCGTGGGAAACCCTGTCTCATGCTTCCCTATCTCACACAGCAGTGAGCTCTGGGGCCAGACAGAGGTGGTGTCGGTTCTGGGCTCCCTGCAGGTATGGTGATTTGGCTCCTGGTTGGAGGATGGCACAGCCTTCAAAGCTCTTGCTGTAAGCTGGGCGGCACTGGGCCAGGCCAGGAACTTTAAGGCTGCCTCAGAGTGGGGGATGGACAGGAGAGGGAAAGGAACCAGCCACAGGGACCCCAGCACCCACTGCCCTTTTCCTGGAATGCTCACTCTCTTTCTCATCCCGCACCCTCCCTAGTTCTGGGAGCAGCCTCTCTGCTGTCCTCAATCACAACCTCTTCAGGAGCCAGGGACAGACAAAGTGTTCTGCTGAGCTTTGCAAACATTGCACAACGGAGGTGGGAAGGGCAGGGAGGCCTGTCACCAGCTCAGAGTCCATAGAAACTCCAGGCAGCTCTGGCAGGGCAGGCAAGCCCTCTGCAGTAACAAGGAAGATCTCTCCTGAAGACAACTCCCCATTAGGTAGGGGCAGTCCAGAGGGCTGGAAAGTTCTCAGTATTCTGAGGTAGAATCTGCTCTGATCACTCCTTTCTACTTGGGTCTGATCTCAGGACACCACACGTTTGTGCTCTTCCAAGGCAAAGAAAAATATGCTTTTGTCTTTGTGGTCCTCTGCTTGCCTTCTGGGTAGCTCTTAGAGATGGGGGCTGCGGGCAGGAGGGCCAGATCCCCTCCTTGGTAAAGCCTCTTCCCTTGAAGCCTATAGATGAAGCACACCTTGCTTCTGAAAGAGGGTCTTGGGGGCCCGGAGCGATGGAGATGCAGCACTGCATTGTGGGCTGCGGGGGAAGGGAGACAGGCACTTACATGGAGAAGTTCGTGATGAAGGCTTTCTTGGGTAGCTCCATCTGGAAGATGGCCTCCCGCACAGTATCGGCCCTGTTGACCACCCGGCTGGTGACAACCGTATGGGCAAATCGGGATGAGACCTTGGAGTCCACAGTGAGGCTATAGATGTCGATGCCATTCTGAACCAGTGAAGGAGAAGTGGGTCAGTATTCCAGTGCCACCCTAGCTTGGGCAATATTCTTCAAGGGGGGAGGGGAATGAAAATGATCAAAATAGGTCCATGTATGAATGTGCCAAAATGAAGTCTATTAATCTGTATAACCAATATGCACTATTAAAAAATGTGTGGAAAAAAAATAGGGCTTGACCCAAGCCAATCCTTGCCCCCAACCTGAGTTGCTGAGCAGACCTCAGGCTGAATCCAGGGTGGCATTTCAATCTGAATGTCCATCTGAAATAAGACACAGGTTCGGTTCCCGGTACCGGA